AATTAAAGAAGGTGTTTCCCAAACTTTCACTTTTGGCTGACCGGTGGACAAGTCGCATTAGATACCGGTGGACAAGTCGCATTAGATACCGGTGGACAAGTCGCATCAGGTACCGATGGACAAGTCGCATTAGATACCGGTGGACAAGTCGCATCAGGTACCGGTGGACAACTCGCATTAGATACCGGTGGACAAGTCGCATCAGGTACCGGTGGACAACTCGCATTAGATACCGGTGGACAACTCGCATTAGATACCGGTGGACAAGTCGCATCAGGTACCGGTGGACAAGTCGCATCAGGTACCGGTGGACAAGTCGCATCAGGTACCGCTGCCACATTATAGAGGTATTACTATTTGATCATAAATATTCATGTTGCACAGACCAGCAGTGAAATGCTAGCGGGCCGGTGCTAGCCCGCGGACCACGACTTTGGGGAACACTGAATTCTAGTCAAATATATGTATCAGTTGAACGTGTACTTTTTTGATAGTCAAATTATTTGTTAATTAGTATGTTACTATGTGTGATGATGTGTGTTTGTTTGTGTGTGGCTGTGCGTATGTGATTGTTTGTGTATAGTTGTGTGTTTGTGTTTGTATATGTCTGAGCCTGCTGCCTGCGTATGTTCTTGTCAGGTCCATAAAGAAATTAAAGTGGTCAGTGCACCTGAGATGTTTGTAAGTCTCGTACCACTAAAGTGATCAGTACACCTCAGATGTTTTTAAGTCTTGTACCACTAAAGTGATCAGTACACCTCAAATGTTTTTAAGTCTTGTACCACTAAAGTGATCAGTACACCTCAGATGTATTTAGGTCTTGTACCACTAAAGTGATCAGTACACCTCAGATGTTTGTAAGTCTTGTACCACTAAAGTGATCAGTACACCTCAGATGTTTGTAAGTCTTGTACCACTAAAGTGATCAGTACACCTCAGATGTATTTAGGTCTTGTACCACTAAAGTGATCAGTACACCTCAGATGTTCGTAAGTCTTGTACCACTAAAGTGATCAGTATATCTCAGATATTTTTAAGTCTTGTACCACACGCGTCTATTTGACAATTTCAAATGAATGATTTTCTGTCCTTTTACTGACTATAGAGTTGTCTGACCTTATTAAAGGCCACTACTATGTATATATATAAATGAAATATTTGTTGTATTTTTTGATTATATAAAATGATCAAATTATAAATAATGTATCATTACGATTGAGAGAAATGGTGATTGTGTGTCTTTCTATTTCTTATCTGAAATCTTGTATTGACATTGACGTGGCAGACTGCATACGTTTTAAACGTAAAACAACGTGCGAATGAACGAGAGGAACTAAGAGTTGTGTCTGAGGTCAAGGTCTAGCTAAACATAGAAACGTTTCAATTCCATTTCGATGTCAAAAAGGCAGGGGTCAAGCCTTAGGGGGATACGACTGTGGGAACTTACCCAAGAGCCCCCCCCCCCCCTTTCCCCCAACCCCTTCTTAATGAATACAGTTTAACATTGGGGAAAAAACAGGAAAGCTGTTCCAAATTCCATTTCGATGTCAAAAAGGCAGGGGTCAAGCCTTAGGGGGATACGACTGTGGGAACTTACCCAAGGGCCCCCCCCCCCCCTTTCCCACAACACCTTCTTAATGAATACAGTGTAACATTGGGGAAAAAACAGGAAAGCTGTTCCCATGCGTTCATGTAGGATCGGAGCCATGCAATTTTCATTCCCATGCAGTGGCGACGCCATCAAATTTAACATGGCGGTCCCTTGCAGGTCTTAAAAAAATTTGGTGGGTCCCAAATAAATTCTCTTGCATGTAATGTAGTTTACGCTTAATGAGCATATCTACAATATTAGTAACTAATAAAAATTTACCAGGTCATTTGCCAGGTCCCAAGTTTTTTTTTTACCAGGTCCTGGGGCCCGGCGGGACCTGGTGTAGCGTCGCCACTGTTCCCATGTGTTTGTACAGGGCTCGTGCCATGCCAATGTTCATTGTTTCAATTAAAAACAACATGAGAAGACAGTAGATAAAGATGAACTCCCTTTGAAGAAATCATTTATCTTGTTTCTGTGTTTGTTCCAGGGCAGTGGCACGCAATATTTTTTGGAGTGAGACGCCATTCGATAAATTCTGAATGTTACAAAATAAATAGGTAACCGCAGGCAGGGGCGGCATGTGTCAATGCGAAGGGTGAATGTGTTGGCCTACTTGACAACCGGAGCAATATTTGACTTGTGATACTTTGGACTTTAGAAACTGTATAGAAATAATAAATATCATTTATCATTAATACATTATTCATTCAACTTTTTTTTTTGATAGGGACGCGAACTTGTATTCAAAACCCAGGAGAGGGACAGGTTGCTCGAACTTATAGGCGATATTATCACAAGATTATTTCCAACTTCTGCATTCTCTTACCTCATACTTTTTCCGGTGATAGTAAGATTGTGATATGTGCAAGTAAGAGTAGACACATACTGTGTGCCTGGTTGCTATGGCACAAGGTAATGTTTACGTCGCGTCTGATGCCTGATTGGTCGAAATCAGTTTTAAAAATCAAAGGGAAAATTATGTTGGTGTTTGAAAATGAGTCTGCTCCTAAAGTGTTTTTCCCTATCTATTAAGCGTTGGCTCCCAATATGTATTTATACAACCAGGGCCTTCCGAAGAGGTGCCCGGGGGGGGGGGGGCGAAGGGAAATCCGCAAATAATCAGAGGGCGCCAAGATCGTAATATTTCATGCTAAATATATTTATTACTAAATACTTTTTGGGGACGAGGGTGCCTAAATTCACTTCGCCCCTTGCGCAGCTTTTGCTTGCCTCGGCCGTGTTTACAACAAAGCAAGATAAGTATTGTATCACCAATCCTATTTGGCACTTGAGCGCTAATGCCGTTGTCCTATGTAAACTTGAATTTACAATTTTCCTGTTTTGTTGATGTGCACGTGTGTCTTCATTTAATTTGTGCAATCTTATAGCCCTGATATGCTGAAAATATAATCACCAAACTAATTTACTTGGGGAAATTTGGTTGTGTTATTTTTAATTGTTAAAGAAAAAGATGATTGTGACATTAAGGACTAACTTTGTAGGGCACATATTGGGATTTATTAAAAAGTGGGAGATCAAGAAATGTTTGCCATCTTGTATCTACCATATTCAAAATTATAAAACACAAAATGATATGCTTTATGAATTAAAATAATCTTTTGTTTTTGTGTGTGTATGAAATGATATTGTAACATCTCTATTCTTTTAAGATGAGATTTATTCAGATTTATCAATAAACTCATTGATCTTATTGTGTGCAAAACGTTGTTTTGTTTTACTCATAATAAATCAAATGTGACGTCATGTGACGTAATGTGCAAAATGAAAAAAAAAAGAAAAAGATAAGCGTTGCAGAAAATAAGTAGCGAACGAAAAACCTGGTTTAAAATAATCTAATATTTGAAGTGGGCCATTGGGTGTGAAAGGATGTAACTGCTTCCAGCGTTATTTTCAGGCATATCTTGGACGGGGGGCACTACCCCCGGGAAAAGTCAAGTGCCCCCCGGGAAAACTGTGTACATCAATATAAAGATTGTATACGTGTTTTTTTTTTAATTTTTTTAGTATTGGGTAGTATTCAGACATAAAACAACACATCACATCAGTGAAACATGTGACATTAGAAAAGACTGAGGGCTCCAAGTAGATATCTAGGTTAGATTTCATAGTTAAAATGACCATATTTGAATAAACAGTTTCCGGCGGAGGCCCCCCGGACCCTTCTTTAGCTGGAGGGCATCCCCCCCTCACCCACCCCCCCACCCCCGGACAAAATAAAACAAAAATCCATGGAAGTGTCCCGTTTTTTCCAGTTCATGATTTAGTCAGCCTAATTTAGCAACAAATTCTAGGAACTATAAAGATTTAAGGGGCGAGAAAAAAAAAACTAGGGCAAAAGCAAACCCTTAAGTGTGACACAAATAGAAAGAATTAAGTTTACGTCCCACTGGTGCGGAATTTAATAAGTCTTTGATCTTTATTATGGCTAATTGTGGCACTTCCCATCCGAAAGATTGAAATGAAACCTCAAAATTGTCTGAAAGAAACAACAATTTCAAGTGTGCACCAAAACGTATTTATACATTTTAAGTTTGCCCGACTGACTTTAGCACCCTAAATTTCTGCACCCCTTCACTCACGCTGATCAATGGTACAGTATGGGGTTAATTATAAGCTTTTGACAAAAGCTTACTCTGGGACTCCCCACAAACTGAGTGAATTCAATTCATGCATGGTACTGAGCGTCATAATGCCTCCAACAAAACCTTAAAAATGTCTTTCCAAGTTCAAAAAGTATAATAGAAACATTGAATTCAAGTATACCCCAAAATCCTAAGAACGGCGCTGCTGCATATAAAAAAAAAAGTGACACCTGGGTGGCCCACCCCATCCACTCTATTTCGATGACACTAGCAGGGGCGTGTCTACAGGCATCAGGGGGCAATATTAATTTGTATGTCCCCCTCACAATTCTGAGACTGATTATTTTCCACCATTAAATACCATCAAAGCCCATTTTGCCCCCCCCCCCCGCTAGTCTGGCGCCCCGGGATATATGCCACGTCTGCCAACCCTTAGCTACGTCACTACCCAAAATTTTAAAAACCCTCCCCCCCCCCCCCTTGATAATTTCTGAAAGCAACACTGGTTTCTTCTGTCTTTTAAAATAATAGCAATCAAATTATTTCGTGATTGTTATCGTTTGCGACATTTGGGTTAATCAGTACCATTTTAATCATTTAATACAAATTTATTTTAATGTTTAAACAGACATAAACTAAAATAAATATGCATCGACTCATTTTTTTAAATTCTTGGTTTCAATTTTTTTAATTATATAATATATATTAAATATGTTGTACAAATATTTAGTTTAAATTCGTTACAAGCTCATCCGTGTTTTACATTTTTAACAAAATTGTACTTTTAATCAAGAAGAGTGTATTTTCTAATTACAGTTACTTTCGTTTTTCATGGCCATGGTATAAGAACTATTATTAGGCTATAATAAGGCTAATACTAATACTAGACTAATGGTTCACTATCTTAATTAGGCCTACATATCATGTTTTATCATCTTATTAGGTCAAGCAAGTCTACATACTAGAAATGCATGAAGACGCAGCTGAAGATAAGAAAACAAAAATTTTATGTGTTGGAATGGCCTGTGTTGATTTTATAAATGTTGTCAAAGAATTTCCAAAAGAAGATTCAGATCAGAGGTGCTTAGTTACATCTTATTACTAAGTACCTCATGCCTTTGATTTATCAATGTTGTTATAAATTATTTAAAACTTTTGGAGCAAAGTCACATACAAATATATGGCAACGTGTATGAGTATGATTATGACTAGTTACAGTTTGGGCTTTGGCCAGCTTTGCATTTTTGCTTTTGATCATGGTGGTTTTGGAGGACAAACTTGATTTGATGTCATTTTTCATTTTAACGTCACTACAAAATGAAAGAATCCTAATTATTTCCTCCTTATGGCCCATTGGCAGCTGTACTCAACTGTACTGTTATTAAATTAAATACATTAGTTTAAGTCATTGTTGCTTTATTAATTATTACTACAAATTTTAGTAAAAATAAATAAAGCTTTATTGGTATTATTATTATAATTATACTACTTTACATTAAGTCAATGTAGAACCTATAACTTGTATAACACTCCTGAATCTAAGTTAACCCACAAGGGCAATGCATAAAAATTTTTTTTTTTTTCTCAGTATTTTAATTCTATAAAAGATCACACTTATCAGGTCATTGTGGTAAATAACAAATAATTACTTGAGACTTGAGGTGTAAAACCTTACAAAATTCAAATCCAAATATTTCTTATTCTTAGCATATTATATAAAAAAGAATTTAATGCAATCTTAATCTAATAGCAATATAGTTATAATTAAATTCTACCCTATGTGGTTTAAATATATAATATATTGTTTCAAATCATTTTCTTTTTTTTATAAATTTTGTCATACTCCATAATGTGGATTTATTTTTCTCATCTCATCTTATTTCTTAAATGCAGTTTTATTAGAAATACTTTCCAGGATATTGAACTATTACTGGCAGAGGGGAGGGAATGCCAGCAATAACTGCACTGTTCTGTCCTTGTTGTCAGTCCCTTGTGAATTTATGGGTGTGCTGGGAACTCAAGGTGCAGAGGCTGAGTATGAAACAATTGGAATAGTTGTAAATTAATAAATAATTTTAGTTTATACTAAATTAATTTCATATGTTCTTAAAAACAAGTTATGATTCAAAGATAGATAACCATATCAAAGAGTTTTCTTATAAGTTCTGATTACCAGTACTCTGATGTTAAAATGAGTGGGATACATTTAAAATTCATTTTCTGATTATGGAGTAATAAAAGGAAAAAATTAAAAAAGACAAATAAAGGAATACCATCATTAAACTGTTGCACTTGACCTAGGGCCGGGGATGCAATAAATAAACTATTTATTATTCAGCTGTATGTTGGCTTGAATATACTAATATGTCAGAATTGGATTGTTAATTTGATTAATTGGGATTGTTTTTCCAATCCATAAATAGATGGATTAAAAGTGACTTTCAAGACTTAAGAATTGACATAAGCCATTGTGAAGTAAAAGATGTTCATTGTCCTGTGGCCACTGTCATACTAAACCAAGCCTCAGGTACCAGAACTATTTTATTCTATCCAAGGTAAATAAATTACTTTATTGAATTCATTCCTCTACACTTGAAGTTAAATCACTTTAAAATATTTCATATAGAAATTAGAGCAGGGACCCCAAAAAACCTGACCCACATGCTGCAGTTTTTCTGGTTCTTTTGTGAAGCTTTGCGTCCCTTAGACTTAGATAAGATAAGATTAGATTCTTTTATTGATCCAAATAAATGGAAATGATTTTTGATTGCATTATACATTTTCAGCACATAAATTTGAACACAAGACATTTACCGGGTATAATAAATTATTTCTAACAGCCATTCAGTGAGTTCTCTTAGCAAAATCGGGGACTTATTAGTTCTCATTCAGATGTGTGACTTCAGAGGAAGCACGCCGGTAAATTTGTACAGATATGGGAACAAAAGAATTTTTATATCGGTCAGTCCTCGCCCTGATGGAATGAATTCGTCCCGAACGACCCGATCTTAAGTATCTAGGATGAAGAGGGTGGGATGTATCATCCAAAATGTGTTTAGTTTTGCAAAAACATCTTTCTTCAAATAGTTCTTCAAGTGAATTAATGTTTAGTTAGTGTTATGTTTCTAGCTTTCTTGATTAGTCGATTTATGTAGTGTTTAATATCAGACGTTGAAATTCCACACCAGCAGGAAATACTGAAATTAAGTAGGCTTCCAATAGTTGCAATATAAAATAAGTTAACGAGTTGCTTGTTTACGCCAAAATTGTACAGTTTTTTGAGGTAGAACAGTCTTTGGTTGACTTTCTTATTTAGGATTTGGCCGTGCTCATGCCATGTTAGCTTATTATTAATGGTGACACCTAAGTACTTGTATGCCTCCACTTTCTCTACACTTTGATTTTTTATGTTGAGATCTGTAATCGGGTGTTTCCCCCTCCTGAAATTAGCTTATCAATGTGGCCTTGTCACACTTAGGGTTGGGAAACGTTGATTTCAATACTTTATTTTGTGCGATCTATATTGACATTTACCTATAACATTCTTTTAATTCAGAGATAGGCCTGAGCTGTCTCATGAAAATTTCCAGAGGAGTTTTTGTTCTGACTTCTCACCATACTTTTGGATTCATTTTGGGGTAAAAATATATGTCCTTAGTGGAGGAAGAAATTTATCATTTGATCAAAATTTAATCTAATATCATCATTATTATTTGATCAAAATCTAAAGTCTACATTAAAATTTTATCAGAATCTAATGTCTACATTAACATTTGATAAGAATCTAATATCTACTTTATAATTTGATCAGAATCTAATGTCTTCTTTATCATTTGAATATAATCTAATGTCTACTATAATATGTGATGAGAATCTAATGTCTATTTAAATGTATACTAATGACAGACTGATGAAACATTACTGTTCAAATCCTTAAGATATGCAGCAATGTCAGTGACATCTCGTCTATGATAGATGACATCATTCAATACAAATCAGATAAAAAACATAGAAGAGCACTTAATGAGTTGAAGAGTGAACCGATTGTGTCAGTTGAAGTGGAAAAACCTGAGCTTACGGATGCAGGTTTTGACATTTTTCATCCTTTGTCAGCTAAAGCAATTTTTTTTAAGTTTTAAATAATGAATGACAATAAAGGAAGGGGCATAATGATTTTTTTCAATATAACTCGAATAATTGGCGTGGTGTCAATCCTAAGAGGCTGTGGTAATATTTTATGCCTACAAATCATGTTAAGCATACAAGGGTAGTTTTCTCTTGTGGATATGTCATAGCCTGACAATTGAAATAACAAAATATCATTTTCTGTTGCTGAAATTATATTTTACCTATCGTCAAAGAATTTCCAAAAATCTCTTGCTCCTTCCTGAAAAGTTGAGCTCCATAAATTAAGTTACTCTGAAATTCCTAAAATGGGCTATTTATAAAAAGAACTTACAACGATACTTATCCTTCCTATACAACACTTAAAAGATATGAGGGTGAAATTAAATGTTATAAATTATAAAAAATATGAAGCAAAATAAAATTTGTTATAAAAGTTTTATGTGGGTAAGATGAAATATTATGCTAACAAGAGTCTTTATTGAAATTTCTTTATTTTATTCCACAAGAGATTGTTATGAAGAAGGCTGACATTGTGTTCATTAGTAAAGATTATGCCAGCAGTAAAGGTTACTTTGATCCCATCCGTGCTGTGAAGGAACTTTACCAAACATGTAGACATAAGTACGAAACTTTTCATGTCATTATGTTGTTGTCCATATGTTTATTATTTTAATGAGAAATAAATCAAAGTCTTGTGTTAACTCTTACTCTGTGGATCAACGCTCCGATCGTTGATTTTAAATGAAGTTTTTTTGGGATTGGCGATCGTCGATGCATAAAAACCAGTTTGTTTTGTTTCCTTTCTTAGCTATTAGTTTTAAATTACTTTCAATCGAATCTAGAAATAGTTCCCTTTCATAAACATTCAGATTGTATTATTTTCAACGAGTTTTGACAGAAAATTAAGTGTTTTGATCATCTCCTTTATTTTTGTTTACAAACGTGAAATCTCGACCTGGACCATCTAGCGATCAATCTAATACTAATAAAGGTAGAAAATATTACATTGATGATGATTTCAGATGCAGAGACTGATTCTGTGGAATCATATAATCCTAGTAATAGTAGTATTTGTACTAGTGACGAAAGAAATAATGAATTGATAATTCATCAGCTGATGAACAAACAGCCCGGCCCCCAGCTAAAGTGCCTTCTATAAGAGCTAATAATGTTCCTAATATAAATAATGTAGAATCTAATAGAAAAGCTGCTGATCTTAGCACTAAGACTGAGTGCAGTTTCAGATTTTTAACTTTGTAAAATGTAGATGTAAATTTGGAGATTGTATTGTGACTAGAAAGTCAAATGAACTTGACTGGTTTTTTTTACTTTGCTAGACACTCACATTATTCACAAACTTTTATTCTCAATAAATGAGTAAGCTTTCTACAGAATTAAAATCAACACTCCAACATGCAAGAGATTTATTTTTAGAGACTGGCAAGCTGTCAATAATTATGAGACCTACAAATTTCTAGCACTAACAACAATGATGACAATGAACTCTCATCCATTTGTGCATAACAACTATGCAAAATAGAGATTTCAGTCAGAATAAGGAAAATAATCCCGGAGACAAAGAGTTAACAGACTTTCCAATGTTAACAAAATCAAATTGCCAATGTTAACAAAATCAAAGTCTTGTGTTAACGGACTTGCCAATGATAACAACAGTCGAAGTCATAATGCACGTTAGTTTTCATTGTTGCTCTCATAATACATTTAAAAAAAACAGAAATTGTTAATATTTTCTATTTTTTCTCTAACATCATGACATAATAGGAAGGGTAATGAATTCAGTTGCAGATTTTTATGTGAGAAAAGATATGTGGCTTGATATATTAATTACGGCTCTCATAATTTGTGTATCCACTTCATATCAGTATCAGAACACGTTAAAGTTCTCAATGTCTGTAATTAAACTTGATTTTATTTGTTTAAATCTCTTATTTTTCTCCAGCGCAGTTCTTGTTTGTCCATGGGGTGAGAAGGGAGCCGCAGCTTATCTTAACCACAGCATTGTTACATCACCAGCGCTGAGTGACATCACTGTCATCGACAGCCTCGGAGCAGGGGATACATTTGTAGCAGGATTCATGGCCAGATTATGGAAAAACAATTTCACGATAGCCTCACAGGATTCTAAAAATGACAGTGAGACTTTGGGTGTGATTAAAGATGCACTTGACTTTAGCTGTGCACTAGCAGGACAAAAGTGTTCAATGTTTGGCTATACTGGCTTGAAAAGTTATAAATAAAAACATAAAATATTTAAATTATTGAAGATCTTCATTTATTTGAAAATTGTTTATCTGTGTTCATTTACTTGTAGATATTTATCAATATTTAAGAATTTTGAGTTATTCCTTGCGACTAAATAAATTTTATTTACTTCTTTTATTACTTTAGACTAAGTCAAAATTTCTCAAAGTTCTGCTCATCCAGAAGCCGAAGTTTTATATTTTAATCATCTAACGTTTGGCAAATCTTAAAATTATCTTAACTAAAACATTTATAGATTGAAAGCGAATTAAAAATAAACATGCTTACTTACACAGATCCAGATTATGAGATTTAAGTTTACTGTTAATTGTTGTACTGATGAAGGCGACGGCCGAAACAATCAAATTTGTATTTTGTGGTATGATCATTGAAGCTTATAAAGACCGTTTCATTTACACTGATTGTTTGTGTCCCAGTGTCCTAATTAAAGGCTTCACTGATAAAACTTTTATATATGATCACACAGATCATCAAGTGCAATAATTTTAAAATGAGAAATGTTTTTTTTAGACAAGAATTTGTTAAAGCTTGTTTGATATATTGGTTAGGGCACTATGATTACTATGAAGGTTATTTAGGGCATTGTGCTGGTTGTCCCCCAATGTTGATCCCCAATCTAGCCAATTTTTCCTCTTTAATTTCTTTTGTTAGTAAATATCAGAGCTAGTAAGATCTTCTTAATTTGAAAACAATGTTCATTTGCAAAAGGTTATAGTATCTTGCAGTAAGAAAATGTTTGATCTTATTTGTTGCAAAATGACATTTCCCTCAACTTAACTTGAAATACAGGTATTATTATGCACACAAGTTTTTAAATATATTTCATCATGTCCTTTAAATTTGTCTTAAAGGTAATTAAAACCTTTTTCCATGCAGTATTTTAAATGTCCAGAAATGCTACTGGTACTTAATATTAGCATCAAGTGTTCTTAAGATTATCATAAACTTTGAACATTTCAGATATAAAAATAAACCACATACATTTTTTTTCTATTGATTTTTTATTAAACACATACTTGTAAAATAACTCTTTTACAACAAAAAAAAACATTAAGAAAAGACAAAGTTGTGAAAATGTCCACAATCAACATGGTTATAGTTTAGTGAAGATTTTAAATATTGAGTTGATCACTGATGGACCCGTCAAGGGTGATAAGTTCATGACACTATGAACCTTAGTATTTTTGGCTTGAATTTTAACTATACTACAACAGTATCAGTTTTTAATTCATTAAACAGTTTTACTTCCTACTGTCGAGTTGTATCATCTTTTGAACTTGTTGAAATACAAAATTGTCCATTGCCAAATAAGCAAACCATGGTTTTAAAGATATTAAAAAAAACATTAAAAAAAATATGATTTCAAAATTTCTTTAGGCCCAAATGGCCACTGGATCTGAATGATGATGATGAACATTTCTTAACAATCTCAAGATTTTATATAGGTGGGCATGATCTTATGGTTACAAATTTAAGCTGTTGTAGTAGCTACAATTTGATCGTTGAATCATTTGAATAATTAAAAGCTTTAAAAAAGGTTTTACTTAGGTTCATAGGCGAGTGCCAGAAGATAAATATACTTTCATATATAAGAGTTACAACAAGCTTATTGTATGTTGAAAGTTTAATCTTTTATTTGTCATAAATGGAAATCATGATTTTAAGAAAATATTTGTATTAAAGGATATTCAAACAAATTAATGAAAACCAAGCTACAGAGTTGATAAATGCCTGTAGCTGGTTGAGTCCGAGTCCATCAAATGACAATGAGTGATCAAAATAATTATTAAACTGACAAGAGTTTTTGTTTAATCAAGTAGCGGTACCAACTGAATTATACAACTTTAAAAGATTATTAATTTGATATTTCTTTACACATTTTAAAGGCCAATGCAGAGTACTCACTATGCACTTCAGCAATAAATTAGGGTTACCTTTTCGAACACAGACCAAGTACTCAGTAGTTTAGAAACAATGTAAATGCTTTTGTCTGAACATCTCATTAACAAGACAATATTCATTGATAAAATATTTAAAATAAAAGTTGAAGGAAATTATATGCATGACTATTGCTTATATTATGTAAATTCTTTTTTTTAAATAGAGTTTTTTGATATAATTGATTGAATGGATAATAATTAAATATTTAAAACAATTTTTAAAAAAGGACAAAATAAAAACATTTTAATTTTGATATTACAATTAAAATATTTTGTTACAAATTTTCAACAGTTTGAAGCAAATCTTAGAGTTTAGATGATTTTGATGCAAAATAAACCAAGAACAAGCATTTAAATCTTATACCGGTATTTAAATTTCACACCATGACCTCAATCCTTAACATATTTGATATCAATAATCAACCTGGAGATGTGTTTAAATCTTTAACTATTAATTATAAAATTATTAAATTTAAACCAATTTTTTTTTTTTTAAATTTCAAGTTTAAGCAGGACAAAAATAAACTGAAAATGTTTCTACATTAGACTTTGCTATTGAAGAGGGAAAAAGATGATGCAAAGAGTTTTCTTACATTTAATTCTTGTTAAGGCTGCCTGCCAAGGTATATTTATTACCATAACATAATTAATTTGATAAAAATAAATAAATGTCATAAAAGTAACCAACCAAAATATTAATTGAAACTCAAGATGCTACTTTAAAAATGCATGATGAACCGTACATCAAACACATCAAAATAAAAATGACAACATGAACATCCATAATTACAAACGAGCACACTATAACTCATGGTTACTCAAAAAAGGGGCAGTTTTTTTTTATTGCTTTATTAAAAAAATGTTTGAAATATATTTTCAACATAAAAGGGCAAACACAATGACTATGAGGTGAATTATTTCATGAATTATCACTATGCTTTATAATTTGTTAAATTTTTAACATAACACATATTGTTTGTGTTTTTGTTCAGAGTTTAAATGAGCTCCGAGTGAAAGTTCTTAACACATGTCAATCAGATCAATTAGTTCAATTTACGAAGGCCATGCTCTAAAGACAGAGGAACAAAATTAAGCAGTTTAAGAAGCTAAGTTCCAGGAAAGTGAAACAAGCTTATCTCTGTCTTGTTTTTGTAATAGGATTATCTTTTCAGATAAGTATAAGTATTAATTGTGGGCAAGAGGACCTTAGACTGGCGATTCACAAAACAGGCTCTATCCCTACCTCCAAGAACAAATGGAGGAGTAATCTCTAAGGAGGTCCTAACAAGAATAACATCCACATGTGCTATTCGTAACATAATTTAAAATTAAAAAATCATAGAAAATCATTTGATTTATTATCAATTTTATTCTCTTTTGATAGTTGTCATGCTTTTGTTTTAAAGTATATCAACAAATTTTTTTTCAAATAGATATCTATGAAAAAAAATATTGTGCATACAATTCTGAGATATCTAAATTTTTAAAGACAATCAGAATGTAAAGCAAGGCTCCTTTTTGTTTTCAAGTGCTGTCAGCAAACTGAGCCGTTCACTCTCTCGCACATAAACTTTGGTGTGATAATAATGTATAAAACAAATTAAATGAGAAATAATACAACAGAGGAGGAAAAATAGCAAAGTTTACATAACATTTACAACACAGAGCACCAAAGCCGTGGGAAAAAAAAATAATTAAAATAGCACATTTCTCCACCTCCCGATGTTTGTCATTATTTCAGATAATTGCCAGAAAAGGTTTCTTGATGTCTAAAGATAATTTTAACTATTTTGTACGTTATCTGTTTTATTTTATTTTGAAAAAAATAATAAATGACAACAAACATACTACATAATTATTGATATCTCAACAATGAAAGCGAGACAATATGAAATGAAATATAAATGAAGTGACAAAGACATAATGATTTAAAAAGTACTGCTGTACATTCACCCATTTTTTCAGTAATATCTCTCAACATTTTTTTTTGAAGTTTTTTTTTTTTTAAATATCTTTCAGATTTTGAATTTAAGCTGTCCTTAATATAATATGCACCCCAGAATCTGTTGATATTGGCTCGCTGAGCTCACCGACCTGTTCAGACAGAGGATACAAGACATTTATACCACAAAACAAAGCAAAATTGTGTAGTAGGCAGATACAATAATTTTTTTAATAAGAATTATTTTTAACATGGGACTTGGGGATAAAAAGTATAACTTCAAATAAATGGTTTAACTTAAACAAACCTTAAAATCATTTTTTTTCCTGTGAAATGTACTGATTTCTGAACCAGCTGACGCACTGCACTATCCTCATTGCATAGGCAAAGGGTTTAAATGGTTAAATGACTTTGTGGCCTTATCTACAACTGTATTTTCTCAATAAAGGTTATGACTATAAAATAATGCTTCAGGTCTATTTGAACCAAAAAAATTATTTAAAGTTTATTTTTGGCATATCGTTGCTTAATAAATTTACCTGAAGTTTAAATGACGCTTCTTCAAAAGGCCGCTGCATTTGCCCTGGTCCAAAAGGCCCCAAATCTCCCCCTTTTCTGGCAGAACTACAGTCTGAGTATTTCTCTGCCAATTCTGCAAAGCTTGCATCATCATTGACAATTTTGTTTCTGTAACCTGAAAAGAAATATGTGCCAATTTTCACAAAAGATAAAAATTAAATTTAGAAGCTTATATGAATAAACATACTTTAAAACAGGGATCTGCAAACAACATCACATATCAGACTGCCAAAGTCAAACTACGTTATCGTAGTTGAGAAAATCGAATAGAGTCCTTATAGGATTTATGGTGGGAGGAAGATTAGAATAGATAGCTGTGGCTGTCAGTAGGTTTAAAGAAGGGAGAGGTGAGTAGGCTGTTTTTGTGAAGGGTGACTGTAATGTCCAAAAAGTTAACCAAGATTTCAGAGACCAGAGATATGAATTTATTGTAGGGGTGAACAGAGTGTACAACGTTGATTAACTAGGTCAAGTTCACTCCTCTCCAAAGTGCTAACCCCAGTAGCATCATCAATATACCATTTGTACAATTCAGAGATGCATCAAGTGTACTTTCTCTCCACCATGTGTTCCAAATGCTTAATGAACAAACATGCATAGCTGGGTCCCCTTTTAGTACCCATAGCAACACCACTGTTTTAGTCAAAGAATTGTTTGTTAAACTCAAAGAATTGAGGGTGAGAACAAGTTCAGCCAATCAGAGGAGTTATAATGGATTTGTATGTTGCATTCTTTTAGCTCTACATTCCCATGATTCTTGATGGTCTCTGCTGTGATGCCAGGCAGTAATAATTCAGCTCCATCTCCACTTACATACCCAGATCTAAACCACCTTAACAAATCAAAATGGCCAGGAAAAGATTAAAACACACCAACTCACCAAAAAAATAAGAAGCAAGAAAAGTGAGTATGCCTCTTGCCACACGGCAACTAAAATATTTAGTATTGGGTCCTTTACAATAAAACTTTGCCTATTTTATACAGTTGTATTATTATTTGTAAAAAGGGTTTGGTTTGAATGGAATTCAAATATTTTCATGGCCATGCTTACTCTGTAGTAATTCGAGAGCCTCCTCTTTAGATCTTGTAATAACTTCCCCCTTCCAGTTCTGAGGCCTCCTGGAGTCTTTGTGTTTGACCAAGAGGTGTGAACATGTTACTTTGTCAGATTTCTGTTGTGCTGGCTCCGTGGGTTCATCCCATTGGCTTTCCTTGGTGTAGATATTCATGTAGTAATCTTTGCCTTCATTAAAAATAGAAATAAAAGGTTTACAGACCATTAAAAAACAAAGGTAAACTGTATATTTCAATTTTATAAGAATAGTAGAAATTTATGTAATTCAAAAAAAACAACAACAAAGCACTGAAATTTTAGAATTGACAGTCATGTGAAAGAAACAGTGTCATACCAAGATTTTCTTGAGGCCCACCAAACAATTGGTTTTACAACTTTGTGCATTACTAAATAAACAGAGTTATTATTACTGAACTAATTTATTAATATTTTTTTTAAAATTCATGATTATAGGGACCTGCTCACTGTTCAAATTAATATTTAGGCCAGTATTTGACACAGTGAAATGTTTATTTAACAACTAGGCCAGTGTTTAACACAGCGAAACATTAAATTAATAATTAGGCCAGTGTATGGCATGGCAAAATGTTTAATTTAATATTAGGCCAGTGTTTGACACAGCAAAATGTTAAATTAATAATTAGGTCAGAGTTTGACACAGCGAAATGTGCTCTCAGCCTTATTATCATTCACCATGGTGATCAGGGATTCCCTAAAATGGGGACATGACTCTAATTAATCTTAGACTTCTGACTTGGACAACCCTTGTCGAAGCACATCTATTAATTAATACTAATACTATGATTTATGATTTAGCATCTTTAATGACTTTTTTAATATGCACAGAAAAGTTTTCCAGTCAAGATTATCTGAACAGATGATATGACATGTAATGGCATGCGGCCCGCTAAACTAAGAGTTGACTCGGCATCAAAATGGCCAGTGAAGCCATGACCCATTACTAGGCTTGGCTTCCCCTGGAGCATCCAGAACTACAGTATCTATAAACTGTAGTGTAAGCTACATAAGTGTAAATAGTATAATCCCTTAATAAATTATTAATATTGATGTAAATTAGTGTTAAAACTGATTACTGATTACATGTGACGGCAATGAAATGTCAGAAGTTATAAAAATATAAATAAATGTTAATGAGATCTGAAGTCTAGTGAAGTTGCTGAAGGCAAAACTCCAAAGCCTGAAACTGGTGATAAATGTCATTGAAAGCCGTTAAGATAAAACTGAAAACTAACTACGTAGGTTTTCATTACTTTCAAATTTCTGAAATAAGAAAATAAGGGCTCCACAGGACTCATACTCATTCAGTCAATTCAACTCAATTACTCATTGATTGGTCCTCGGCTCGGCGTCGCTTAGACTTAGACTTCGTTTAAAAGTTAATAGGCTCAGTCTCCGAGTTTTTAAAATTTAAGTTAAACGATTTATCTGACCACACTGATGTTCTTAAATAATATAAATAAACTCAATGTAAAGATTTTAAAATTATACCTGAGGATCGGCTCGTTCTTTTTTCCCAACCTGTTGGTAAATCCGACATTTTGTGTGTTTTTTTATTTTAATTTAAATTTGGTTACTCCAATTTACAGTATCATAAGTATACTAATAAAAAAAACAAAGATAAAAAATAATTTCTTTTAATTAAAGAAAAAAGTGACTATTTAAGAATACAACACTCTGCAAATCATATTCAGTGGTTGGGTAAAAAAAATAAAACTGTATAACTGATATTTTATACGTATTTTTCCAATTTAAATATTACAAAACAAAGTTATTAAATTGAGGTAAATGACTTACTTTGAAACTTAGATATAACCAACAGACAGGGGAAAGAAAAATGTAAGTGAAGGGAAACAACCTGGGAATTAACGTTTTAATCTTAAATTATGGGCATTCCAATTACTCTTAATTAATAAACACTAATGATCAGTAGGTAGGCTGATGAAGTTCAAGCCTGAATGCAAGGGACACAATACTGGAAAAACTCCAGGGCTCCACCAAAAGCAACGTGACGGCTCTGTGTAAAACATATGTTGGTGTTTCAACTAGGACAACTAAATAATGGACATAACCAAAATATTTCTACTAACTGTTTATGTACTGGCACCGGTCGAGGACCCTAAAGTTATATAAGGACTATAGGTGCGATCGTATCTGTGACTTGTGTCCTAGGTGTTGTAACGTGTCTGGTGCCTCTATGACGTGTGGGTTAGGCCCTGTAAAGTGTATTATACTTTAAAAAAACAACAACTATACCTTGTTTCAAATAATATGGATAGAGTGCACAAAATATCGTCGGGGCCTTGGCACGTGATCTCTACCCTGGGACGTGATCCTTACCCTGGGATGTGATCTTTACACTGGAACTTGATCTCTACCCTGTAACGTAATCTCTACCCTAGGACTTGACATCAACCCTGTTACGTGATCTCTACCTTGTCACGTGATCTCTATCTTGTTACGTGATTTCTACCATGGGACGTGATCTCTACCCTGGGACTTGATCTTTACCCTGTTACGTGATCTCTACGCTGCCACTGCATGTGAATCTTATACAGTGGATTAAGATAATTAAATGTTGTCTACAACCACCAATTTGTTTTTCAAGTGCAAAAACTTTTACATAACATGATGTAAAAGCGTAATTTAAAATAGATTTTTATAGAATTTGATAATTTCTAGGTGCCCCCCCCCCCACACACACACACAAATTATCTTGATTGTATTTGTCTAAGATTTTATGTGTCAAGATTTTATATGTCAAATTCTTTATCTGTCAATAACAACGTTATGATATACCCCAAGCGCCCCCCCTCCACCTACCCACACATACACTGTTGTGAGATGTTCAGTGTATGAATGCATGATGGCACAGCACACATCGGTAGCACCAGAGTAATGTTGTTGTTAGGTGATCACGTGATCGGCCAGTCAACGCGCTGAGAGGATGGGCGTCTTAATTTAAAAAAATAAATGCCAAAGGCGTCGCTGACAGGGAGGCGTGAAAAGAATGCCCCATCTTTGCCAAATGTTTAGTAGGTTTAATCCCGAGCGATGCAGAAGGAGTGGGTTCTGATTAGCTCAGTCCACCTGGTGCCGTCTCCTTCATCGGGGCCAATGTAAGGACATGCGCCGCACTGTCCCCACTCACCCCATCATACCCTCCCACAGAAGGCTGACCTCGGTTGGAGATTCAGTGATGCGTGACCATAACTAAATAGTGTTTAGTCCAAAAAAAAAAAAGGGTGGGGGTTGAAAAAATATTACGCTACAACAATCTCAGGTAAACAAATCATGAGCAGGACTAACCTGAGTGTGTGATCGTGGTAAATGCTTCACACAGCTTCATTCATCAGACATCAGTACTACTGGAGTCCTGCCTCAGTTATCAACACTACTTGAGTCTGCCTCAGACATCAGCACTACTGGCGTCTTGCCTCAGACATCAGCACTATTGGCGTCTTGTATCAGACATCAGCCCTATAGGAGTCTTGCCCCAGACATCAGCACTACTGGCGTCTTGCCTCAGACATCAGCACTAGTGGCGTCTTATCTTAAACATCAGCACCACTGGAGTCTTGTCTCTTCTGCGTTCGTGCATTTGACCTTCTCTGCTTCACCTTTTCCAAAACACGTCAACGGATATGTTGTAGATCCTTTTAAACAATTTAATAACTAAAGAATATTCTTCACGATGACCAGTTGGTGTTTTGTGTTGTTCTTGATTGCAACGTGGGGTGAGAGCAAAGCGTCGATCAACTCAACAGGTAAGATTGTTTCATGATCAGTAATTGATGCTCCTCAGGTTTTCTACAAAACTTTGTTGTCACGACTTTGCATGGGTGTAGCCAATAAATGGAGGATTCTGTGTGCTGAAAATTGTTTTATTTAAACTATATCCAAAGTCATTGATACTTTAACCTGTTGCAATGTTGCCACACGATTCTAGCAATGGCATATCACCATGTTTTTGAGATATCTCTTTGCCTCTCCCTAGTAGAATGTACCCATACTTTAAGTATAAACTGTTGTTTTTATATCCAAGTATTATAATTCTGTTACAAAACGGATCTAATAATAGTTTTCTTTTTACATGTAAAAAAAAAATATCTGATGATGAAGAGTATTCTACTCATTCGGGATAGGTTTGATAGTTAATAGACATAGCAATGTCATCAAATGGTAGCTGGAAAGAAAAGGAAGATCATCCTATGTAGGGTACGGGTAGGCTAAATCATATAAACAAACATTAAAGAAAGGAACAAAATAAATTATAGATCTAAAGCTATTGCCTTCAATCAGCATCAGTGTTTTTGTTTACGATTCGTTTTACTGTAAGTTATCTCGACGAATTTGTTTAAAATTTAATGTCGTTTTATCCATCTACACTCATCAGATAAGGTTTGTGATATAGACGAGTTTGACTGCGGTCAAGACAAGCACTGCATTCCTCACACTGGGGTCTGTGATGGCAAGCAGGACTGCGCTAACGGGGACGACGAGGCTGGCTGTGCCACAGGTAGGCAACTAGTTATTTTCAATGTTCAATTGACTTTATCTTTCCAATAATGATAGGATGGTTGAGGGGTTATTTGACTGTTACGTTTTTGTTTGGTTTTTATTCTCAAAGATAATTTAAATTTGTGTCTATTGCTGCAGTTTACCAGCCCATGTATTCCACCACCGCCCACCAATGTGCCCTATAAGGTTTGCTGGTTCGTGTGCAAAATCGTACAGTTGTGTGCAAAGTTTTACAGCATCAATTTTTTTGTATGTAAACTTTTACAGCCCACAAACACACACTTACATGGAAATTTGCTGCGCGAATACTCAGAACTGCTGCGAGGCGTCTGTGAGATAGCTGCGCGGCCGCGCAGCTTAAAGGGAACATTGCCACCCACCCACCAGCCCAAATACTAAAAATAATAATAAGTAAAATAAAGAGCTAAACCGACAGATAACAAAGGAAATTTTTAAACACTTTTTTTTTTTATTTTTTGTGCGCCTCTGCGAGGTGCTAATAAGAAACAATTCCAAATCAGTTTCACGCGGTGCGATAGCTGAAGTATAAGTATTAATATAAAGGTAATTAAAAATAATAAATGCTAGTGCCTCTTTGTATTTGCTGTTTACAGTAAAACAGAATATTACTTGCGAGGCTGGTGAATTTTTCTGTGAAGGTAGCAGTCATTCAATTTGTATACCAAAGTTACACTTATGTGATGGTTTTGAGGACTGTTTTGATGGTGGTGATGAAGCTGAATGTGAGTTTTAAGCATAGTTAAGCAGAATAAATTGTCAACTAAATTAGATCATTTATTAACATAACCTAAATTTACGAAGTACTTTTTCAGTCAATTTACATATTTTATAATAATGAAACCTCCCGAAAGAAAAGACTTCCGGTGTTCCTTGAGTTGAAAAAAACATTTATTTTCATTTTCAATACTTTGAAGGTATTGTGACTTGTAGACCTCATCAATTTTTGTGCCGCAAAGAATCGCATTGCATCTCCCAGAAACATGTATGTGACGGCCAGAAAGATTGTGAAGATGGAGCAGATGAAATCGACTGTGGTAAGATAGAAATAATTTGTAAAGAGGCATCCATAGGAGTATCATATGACCAACAATGATATGTAATATGTCAACAACATATGTTGATCATCAAGACATAGTCATAGCCTAATGAATAATCATAATTATTACGTGCCAGCAGTCTGTGTGTTGATTGTTGAGATTTTGCAAAAGGTTGTGTGTGTGTGTGGGGGGGGGGGCATAAAGTATGTAAATTTACGCACACATTCTGAAAGTTTATCAAATTCTGTGACAGTCTTTAAAATCCCTAAAATAGAGCCAGAGTTTAAGGCAAAATTATGTGAAATCCCTGCCTGAGGCCCGATTTCTACTTTTAAAAAAATATAAAAGATTGAAATTTCAGCAGAATGAATTCAATTATCGAAAATTGTCATATTGTTGCTTTATATTTTCACAAACATCTTGCTAGATGTGACAACAATAAGATTTAGTAATAGTAGCCGAGAGAGCTATGTTTTCCACTGATGGTAAGCTTTTCTGTGCAAGTGATAAGACAGTTTCCTAAACTTTTTTCCACAAGCACCACCTGATCTCCTAAAAAGGTTCTAGATTCCCCCCCCCCCCCCCCCCCCATTTTTGAGGGGGGAAAAAAGAGGTCTCCCAAAAAGATTGCAGCCTTAAGAATTACATAGGATAAAACTTTTATAAAAGAAATAGATTTGTATTGCATTATTTGTCAAAGGTGGTTAACTTGTTTTAAAAATCCAGCTTTAACAGTACATCCAGTGCCACTTAAGCCAACCAATTTTTTTTTTGCGCTCCCCCCCACTTGCCAGACAAAAAAAGTGCAGTTGGACGAAAAGTTGGCAGACCCTTCCATCCCCCCTTCCTATGTCACTGTCCCAAAAACTATATGCCCTCCTATAATCTTCAGGTGTCAGGTGTATGCCACAATATATATTGTATATAATATAATTAGGTTATGTGTCCTAACTATTATTTCCAGTTTAATTTGAAATATGTAATAATCGCTTTAACTTTTAAAATTATGTTTCCACCTTCCAGACGTTGAAATGTACAACTGTGGGAAAGATCCTAACAAGTTTCTGTGTAATGACAATTCCAAGTGTCTCCTGGCTGAATTTGCTTGCAATGGTCACAAAGACTGCCTTGATGGCTCAGATGAGATAAACAACTGCTGTAAGTTGGTTTTCAAATAATCTTGCACAAAATTAGATTTGAATAAATTTGTTTGCTTTTTACTCAAGATTGATAATCTTGGATAATTAAATTGCATGCATTTTTGGGGGAAAGTATTCTAATCTCCATGAAATCCAACCAGTCAATAAAATTAAAACATTTGTGGTAACTATCCTGCCATATGCTTAATTCTAATGTAGGAAATGCATGTGTTATTAACAGCTGTATGAGACATTCTGCAATTCGCTATTTTTTAAAAGACACAGCAATTGATTAATACAAGTATCAAACTAATGGTTGTTAAAATTAAATAACATTGTTGCAACTATCCTATGTATGCATCTTACATGGACACAGTACATGGATGACAGTACAATTGTAAATTTCCATACCTTTATGTCAGCCCTCACATCTCACACTGATTCTTAATGTGAGACAATGTACATTCTACAAGTTAAACCCTGCCACATGATTTCTTTTATAATTAAACATTATTAAAAGAATACTTTCACTCACCATCTGTATAATAGGTACTCTTATGTTCATCATGCAACTGTATTGTTAGTTAAGTATATTTGTAAAATTTCATTGAATCAGGGTACATGGAACAAAGAGCTTTTTAAGAATAAAACTAAAATATTTCATAATACTGATTCAATTTTAATTAATTGTAGTAATAGTGACAAAATCTCTTTCCTCATAGTGTAAATGGTTACTCAAGTGATCCATGTTCTGGTATAATACTTATTGAAGTGTAAATGGTTACTCCTGAAGTGTAAATGGTTACTCAAGTGATCCATGTTCTGGTATAATACTTATTGAACTTTATACATTAACAACCAATGTGTGGTTGAAAAAACTTTTTGATTAATTTTGGGTGTGCTGGGATATAAAGTTTATATCAAACCCACTAACTGGACAGACCAATAAATATTTCAATTAAATGGATCCTTAAATACAGTTTGACAGATGCGCTGTACAATCATGTGTACTTTTTTTTATTTTTCACCTGTTTTTAGACAGTTTGTGTGCTCATTTACCCTGTGACCAGTTGTGTCTGCCAGACAGCAATGGTGTCAAGTGCACCTGTCATGTTGGATTTCAAATGAATTCAACAAACAACATGACATGTATTGGTATGTTCATGCATTTGTCTCACATGACTTAGAAATGAATATTTTACTCACAGCTTCATATTATTATATCTGAATCTCAGGAGTCAGCACATATTTCTGTATAAATTTGTTTATTTTGTATTTTATATTCATAAGTTTCCATGGTCACAAAATAAACAGGAAGTTACATATTTCTAATGGTCAAGTCTTGGGTTAACGTGATATAATATATATACACACATATATATATATAAGGGCTCAAGGGAAAAACCAGTGATGTCAGGTTTTGAGAGTTTTGAGAAATTTGAATTTAAAGTTTGAAAATTCCTCATAAAAGTATGAAAATATCAAGATGGCTACGTATTTATTTATTGACTACGCTGCTTTTTCAGTTGGACCTATGTATCATATTATGATATTAAATGGAATGTAACCACAAGGGAGATAACATAGAAATTTTGAAAAACTGACATCACTCGTTTTTCCCTTGATCCCTTCATATATATATATATATGTAATGTACATATGTACACATTAGGGAGACATTTTATATAATTATCTTTATTTATTACTTTTATATAAGTTTTGAAAAGCCAAACAAATCATGTGAGCCCTCATCTTCAATAAATGAGTTTTGTTTTGTCACAATATTATCTTCAGATATAGACGAGTGCTCACTTCCATATGACAATAGTGTGTGTAGTCACATCTGTGAGAACTCTTTGGGCTCTTACTTCTGCTCTTGTGTGAATGGCTATGAAAAAACAAATGATGGCAAATGTAAAGCTAAAGGTGAGATTATTAATAGGTTTGATCCTATCAGAAAAATGAAAATACACACACTAATTCGAGAAATAAAAGATATTAGTATGCAAGTGTAAAGTTTTCGTAATTTGAATTTCATTTCCTACTAAAGTCACTCATTTCAAGTCGAGTTTCTTATAATAATTTCCTTAACCTAATGAATATTTTCTTAAAGTTGTAAAAAAGAATTCTGATATGAAAGTTATTTTCATTTAATAAAATCTTCAACAACAAATAATAGCATGACATGAAGTGATATAATGTTCTTGGTGATTACTTTGTAGGTAAAGAGCCAGAGTTTATCTACTCAACTCAGGAGGAAATCAGGATCTTCATGGCGAATAAGAATTATTACAATGTTTTGCTTCAGCATTTACACGGAATTAATAGTTTGGGTGAATTATTTTTTTACCTTTGTTCATATTCTTCAAATAGTTCAGAAAATTTAATCTGAGGTTTGCTAATGAAAACCTGATAGTGATGGGTACGTAAGTTGTCTCTTTTATTGGACCGTGAAAAGCAAAATGTTAATTGTTACTTGATACAAAGTGTTAATTGTTACTTGATACAAAATGTTAATTTATCTTCCATATTGTGATGGCCCACGATCAAAATATTGACAGTTTTGGCTCCTACGATGCAGAATTGTTACTTGATATAAAATTTCTCTCCCATAAATCATTTATTTACAAAATTTATGAAGCTTTCAAAATAATTTTTTCTTATTTTCATGGTTGGGGCAAAGTTTCTTATTTAACATTGGCGGTTGTGAATTAGAAAGACAGAAAACAAATTTTATAATATTTTTTATTTTTTTTTAATGAAAACATATTTTTTGAAAATTCATCATGCAAGATTTTTGTACACACTACAGCTGTCGACTCAGACGGTCACAAGATTTTTTGGTCTGAGTTCAGAAGTGATCATCAACCAGGAGTTTTCTACACAGATTTTAAAACATCCTTTCCAGCCAAGACAACAATTATGGCATTTGGTATGTGTTCTCTTACAGCATCAACTTACATCATCAACTTACAGAATTTGATATGTATTATCTGATAGCATCATCTTACAGCAAATTATTGAAACAGTTTATTTATATTTTGTTTGTTTAATAATCATTAATCCAAAGTATTTACTTTTTGAAATGATTAATTATCTATTAGCCGAAATTTTAGATTTAAAACATCAAAACAATTTTTAGTTTTACACTCATACCTTCAAATAACTGACTTTTCAAGTTTTTGTTGCCATTACCAGGTCTTGTACATCCACGCGGTCTTGCCTATGATTTCGCAGAGAAAAATCTGTATATATCTGACAGTGAGAAACCAGCCATTCTTGCATGTAAACCGGAGCAGTCCATTTGTGTCACCGTTTTTAATAAGAATTTAGTGAGGCACCCAACTGATTTGGCATTGAATCCTGGCAAAGGGTTTGGATTGAGTTTTTTTTATATTCGAGGAATTTGATGAAATTCTTTTGACTATTATTTATCTGGAAAAATTTACTGCAGATAAAATAATTTTGTGCTTTTAAAGTAATAGAGAAATAATGCACATAGTACCAAGTGTAAATGATTGTATTAATCTGCAACATTCTTGCTCTGCTTGAAAATCAAATATGTTAAAATTATCAGTTTTCTAGCTAATGTTAAAGAAAATTTGAGCGCTTAGATACTTTGGCATTAAACATTTAAAAAATTGACATAAAGTAAAGCTGTCCTAAAGAAGATAGTGCAGTGGCCATTCATTGATACCTGCTCACATCAACCATCCACTTATGTCAGCCATCCACTAATGAAGTTAAGCATGTTTTAATGTCTTGTTACAAGTGTTTCAACAAAATGGCATGATTGTTTAAATAACCTCCGTTCAATTAAATTTTCTCGTCTTAGGATCATCTATTGGATTGAAGATGTTATTTCGCCAGTGATCATGAAGGGAAGCATGGATGGCAGTTACAGCTCAGTGTTCATTTCTGCTCACCTATACTCTCCACTTTCTTTGTTTGTGGATCTAACAACACAAAGGCTCTTCTGGATAGATAACCTCCATAATATGATACAATCTGTGGGCTTGGATGGTAGAGACAGACAGGTAATGGAAACATAGAGATGTGTTACATCATGAATATCATTTCTTGAAAGTTACACTAAATTGGTTTATAAAAATTATTCTTTGCATTGATCAGTTTTTTTATTATTGTATATATATGTCTGCCGAAGACGGCGTTGTTTTTGTCAAGCCCAGGCCTAGCCTTGTTACACTATTCATTTAAGGATACTAGTGAGAGAAAAAAAGCTAGATAAATGTTTGAGTGGCATATAAATGACAAAATATTACTTTTTTAAACATTCTTGTCAAATTCTAAAATTAACTGCAACAGTTGACTTTGCAATTTATTCATTTCTGTCTGTGGTAACTTTTCATCCACCACAAGAAAACTACCTTTCCCCGGGCATTCATTGTACAAAGTACTGAGCATTCGTTATGCAAAGTGCAGGGCATTCATTGTGCAATATCAGGGGATTTATTATCCAAAGTGCAGGGTATTCATTTTGCAATATCAGGGCATTTATAATAGAAAGTGCAGGGATTTCCCTATGCAGTGTGTTCAAAGTTACATAATGTTCTCTTGTTCTGGGATCAAATAATTTGTAAAGCCTTTGATTTTTTAGAAAATGTAAAGCAACAATTTCACACATGAAAAAAAAAAAAGAACAAATACACTTCTTTGTTTTAAATAGAAGTTAAGCATTATGGTCATAAAATCCTGGAATAATCATTAAGTCTGAAATATCTGAACTTTTGGAATGTAACATTTATACAAAAGGATTCATTCCAGAATATCATTGGCCATGGCATATCGCATCCATCCATGCTGTCTGTGTTTGAGGATGATGTGTTGTGGGCCAACACAGCCGTAATGAACATAGTCTCAGCAAACAAGTTCACGGGCCTGGGGCTCAAGGTTATCCAACAGGACATTCCACCACCAACAGCTTTGGTTGTTCATCACTCAAGTTTACAACCAACAAGGGGTAGGTTGTGAGTTACGTGATGGTGGTGTAGAGCAAGGGGTAGGTTGTGAGTTGCTTGATGGTGGTGTAGAGCAGTCTGACAAGGGGTAGGTTGTGAGTTACGTGATGGAGGTGTAGAGCAGTCTGACAAGGGGTAGGTTGTGAGTTACGTGATGGTGGTGTAGAGCAAGGGGTAGGTTGTGAGTTACGTGATGGTGGTGTAGAGCAAGGGGTAGGTTGTGAGTTACGTGATGGTGGTGTAGAGCAAGGGGTAGGTTGTGAGTTACGTGATGGTGGTGTAGAGCAAGGGGTAGGTTGTGAGTTACGTGATGGTGGTGTAGAGCAAGGGGTAGGTTGTGAGTTACGTGATGGTGGTGTAGAGCAAGGGGTAGGTTGTGAGTTACGTGATGGTGGTGTAGAGCAAGGGGTAGGTTGTGAGTTACGTGATGGTGGTGTAGAGCAAGGGGTAGGTTGTGAGTTACGTGATGGTGGTGTAGAGCAAGGGGTAGGTTGTGAGTTACGTGATGGTGGTGTAGAGCAAGGGGTAGGTTGTGAGTTACGTGATGGTGGTGTAGAGCAAGGGGTAGGTTGTGAGTTACGTGATGGTGGTGTAGAGCAAGGGGTAGGTTGTGAGTTACGTGATGCTGGTGTAGAGCAGTCTGACTGGAATCATGTCACGTTTTTTTTTACCGGATTAATTCTTTATTGCTAAACATAACATCTTACAGTGCTCAAAAAAACATCCATGATGCACCCAGAATAATCTTTAAAATCTTAAAAGATAAAATATATCATTAAAAAAACTATGGATAGTTCACTAAGTTTCAAAATTTATATAAAACGCAACTGAGTGTAAACAATTAGGATGAGCTTGTATGTAAGGTAAAGTCTTCTGCTAAAGAGTTGAGCAGATAAAATATAAGAATGGTTTCGTTAAGTCTTTGAATAACACACTTGATCAGCAATGGTAATAAGAAAACTAATTTCGAGTTTTGTTACTTATTTTCAGATGTACACACATGTTGGTTAAAGAAATGCAGCCATATTTGTCTGATAGGCATTAATGACACATACTCCTGTGCTTGTCCGGACGGCTACAAACTTGACCATTTTGCTAAGAACTGTGAGAGTAAGTACAAAAAGAGGCAAAATATTTTGCAAACACTTTTTAGCCATTTAAAAAAAAAATAACCTCCACTTAAAGGTCAAGGATATGGTGCTGAATCTAGCGCTCAATTACTTCAAGTGCGTTGTTGTCTGAAATGGTATAGGAATCTATCTACTGTAGGCTTGAAGTTTTCATCTAGATGGCTTGTTGCTCTATAAATTATAATCTATGTTTTCAATTAAAATGAACACATTTTGAATGCAGCAACTTTTGGCTATTATGAGCAAGTTCATATTTCTAATTATTATTTTAGTGTCTGTGATTGACTTTTGAGTAAAACAATTCAGTCACCTTGCACACACACTCTTCACCAGAAATCAGCCATCCACCAATTCTCATAGCTGCTCAGAAAGAGGAGATTATTACAATCCCCATCACCTCTGGATTATTCCAAGTTAAATCCCATAAGTTGACCTCCATGAAGAATGTATACCTGATGGCTTACCTGGCTAAATCTAATGAAATCCTCTACACTGATTCTGCTGAAAAGGGCAAAGTCACTATAAACCTACTTGAAGACCTGGACACTGAACCACGGTTTGTAATAATGCTCTAAAATTATGAAATCTTTTTTACAGAGTCAACAAATTAATATCTTGTTGATATTTGGTTATATTAATGCATTAATTATGCACACAAAAAAAATTATATATTTACATTCAAATACCTTGCCTTTTACACCTTGCCTGTAACACATTGTCTGCTACACATTGTTGGCTATACATTGCCTGTCACACCTTGCCTGTCACACCTTGCCTGTCACACCTTGCCTGTCACACCTTGCCTGTCACACCTTGCCTGTTACAGAAGTAGAGTAGTCTTAAATGATGTGGGCACTGTGGAGAGCCTTGCGGTGGATGAATCATCCTCACTAATCTACTGGGTTAATGGAAATAAGGTAAATATTTTCTTGTTGTTCCAGCTCATCAAATCCTTTCTTAGCTTAGGAATTACCATTACAGCATTAAGATTATCTCTACCATAAAACATAGGAATTACCATTAGAGCATTATGATTACCTCTACCATAAAACATAGGAATTACCATTACAACATTAGGATTACCACTACCATAAGACATTTATAAAAAGTGTTGTTTTTTTTCTATACAAGAGAAGCTAATACATTGAAACATGAAAAATTTGAACCGAGAAGCTCATCTCTAGCTCCTTTTCAAAAGAACTAGAAAATGTCAGTTTACATCAATACATTTTTTTTCCCACTAAGATAAATGACTAGCTGCTTAAATATCATCAAATATCTGATCGCCACTGTTTATTGCAAGTAATGCTGACATCGAGTCTTCGATGTATATTTTGCAATCTTCAGAAAGCCATTCAGTTGTCATCCTTTGATGGGGACAGGAGAGCCACCTTGACGATTGAGGACATAAAACATGTTGGTGCTCTAGCAATTGATCCTTCACAAGGGTAAAATTGCATCTCTAACTTTTTTGACTGATTAAATTCTGAAATGTCAGGCCTTTTTAGCATTGTATATAATAAATAGTTTTATATATATATTTGTTTTTTTAATTTAATTAATGTATGTCAATTAATTATTTCAGATTTTTATTATGTTTGTTAAATTGTATGTACAGCGTGGTGAGCCCAGCCCTAGGCTGGGGTACCACGCTATATAAAACCACATATAATAATAATAATATAAGTTTGGTGTTTATCATATTATAGACAATCCTTGATCTGAAATATCCAACTTTATTAAAATAATGGTTATAATTGTACACTTTTTACTATTTGTTACAAACTTAAAATTTTAAATTAAAATTGTTTTGCAACAAAAAATATAACATAAAAAACCACCCATAGAATATTAAATGTCTCTCCAACACATTAATCTATAGAAGTTTAATTGATATAATGCCTCATAAAAGATTGTATATAAATAAGGTTTAATCAAACTTTAGAATTTCACACATACATATATTAGCGTTTAAATTGTCATACTAGTGCAGACCTGTTTACATTCAACTCTTAAAATTGTACAATATCATCATGTAATTGTTCACTACATTCCCTTTATAGAAAAAAAAAGGTGCAGTATATGTAATGTATACACCTCAAAATCGTACGTTGTACTCCAAAATCACAAGAGTAAACAGGTCTGCTAGTGTCATATTTTTATGCTTCCACAGTTTGTTGTATGTTGTGGATCTGTCACAACCAACTGTTATCGTAAGGTGTCATCAAGATGGGAGTGCCTGCAAGACACATGTCTGGGAAAGGCTAGATTACCCAAATACTTTGGCAGTGTCAGGACATAGAATCTACTGGAGTGATTTTAACACAGGTGACATTGCATCTGTGGATAGCATGGGGTTAAACTACCAGAGACATATCATGTAAGTTGTTACTAAATTTAAACAGTTTTGAGTTAGTCACTAAAATCTGAAAACAGTATCAAGAAATATCTTTTTGTTCACGTTGAACTACAATACACAAGGTTACCCAGCCAGGGGTCCTCACAAAGTGTGTGGGGTGGCACTTCAGCGGGATGCAGAGAAAAAGGACTTAAGATTAGAGGAATCATTGAATTTTAAGTTATAATATAAATTTTTATATAGACATTTTTTTCATAGTAAAATATAAAATACAAAAGTTCATTTTCTAAGTTGTACATTTCTGTTTGTAATTCATACAAACAAATAGTCAATGTCTTTCCAATTAAAAAATTGCATGGTTACTTTTAAAGGGATGCAAGACTTAGTAAATTGACTTAGCATAACATTTTTTTTAAGGGTTTCAGGACTAGTTAACAAATTTATAGGGGTCAATTTATGAGGTGGTCAATCTATGTGGGGTCAATTTATGAGGGGGAGGACTTAAACATTTCATAAAAGCAATTGATGGTACTCTGTAGATTTCAACTGATGACAAAATATTTTATTGAAATTTAACATCAACCACAAAAACCTTCCTGTAATTTTATTAAATTATATCATCACCATGCAAATAATTATTTATTAAACATCTTTAATTGATAACACTAATAGGACAACTATAGTCAACTGACAAACCCATGGGAATCAATAAGTTTTTTTTGTTAATAGCACAAGTACAAAGCCACTGTCCATTGCTGTACATGGCACCACCTTGTACTGGACAGAGCTGGATGGCAGCTTTGTTTACTACCACAACCTGGAGATAAATTGGAGTGAAAATAAAATAGAAACCGACAAATTACAGTTGACTGGACTTCTGGTCGTTGAACCTTACAGTTACGGTGAGTGCCACTTCCACTCTCAGTCTTTAAAAATATAATAGAGATTTCATACTCAGAAAGAAAGACAGTTTTTTTCGCTTTTACGTAAACATAGAAAGGAAAAAAAATGTCGAATGAGATAATTAAGAGTACTATAACAAAGAGCCTTAAAATAGAGACATTCCATTAAGATCCAATGATAATGTAAGCATTTGTTTAGGACTAAACATGAACTTGATCCATTTTAATTCTGTTACTTAAAATTATCTAAGCTTAATGAAATTTTTATTCTGTTAGTTTTAAGCTGGGGAAATATATTTTGTGGCTAAAATAATTCTTGTTGCTCAATAATTAGATATTTTGTTGTCTTTGTACAGCTGTCACAAAATGTTCTGTAGATAATGGGGGCTGTGATCAGCTGTGCATCCCTACACCAGGAAGTGTCACATGTTTGTGTGCTGAAGGCTACAGACTACATGGCAATCAAACATGTCTAAAAGGTCTGTTTGATCATTCAATATTTGTAATACTTCTCTTGGTGCTAGGTGTTTAGGAAATCTTCTTGGTGCTAGGTGTTTAGGAAATCTTCTTGGTGCTAGGTGTTTAGGAAATCTTCTTGGTGCTAGGTGTTTAGGAAATCTTCTTGGTGCTAGGTGTTTAGGAAATCTTCTTGGTGCTAGGTGTTTAGGAAATCTACAAACTGATGCCATATTTTTAATGATTTAAATTTTAGCCAAACAAGAATTGTGTCTGCCATATATTACGATTATATAAGCTTATATATTATATTCAAATCAATATAATTTGTCATTTAGTGGATTTTTGGCAATGACCACTTTATCCAGAAGAAATGGTAGATGTGGTCTAATCGAACATAAGAATACGAAATTCAAGTAAAAACCTTTTCATGTAAGCTCAATGATTCAAACTTCCACTAAACAATGAAACTATTTAAGAAAAACAGAAATAACATGTAAAATAATTATCCTTTTGAAGTATCTGATTTATCCACTATTAAGTCTCACTCCTAAAGAAAAGCCCTTAAATCTGAGTGGCACCGAAAAAGTACAGTGATGGTGCTGTGCTAAACCTTAAAGCAATGTCCCAAGGAAATGTTAAAAAATGTTTTAAGTTTTTAATAACCACCTTCTTTCAGTTTGAATTATTTAATTTGGTAATGAGAGTAAAGAAAGAAATCTCAAATTGCTTGGTTGTCATGTAACTATCATGCTGCTGATTTTTTGTTAGTGTGTATGTTTAGCTTGGGTGTAGCATCATAACTATCATCGTGAGGATATGCTTCTAGTGAGTATTTATTGGTTGGGTGTCAAAGTGTCCTCTTTTTTTATAGCCATTTTCATTGTTTCTATAGTATAGTAGTTACTATCCTAGTGTCTCATTTTTATTTACTTAATTTACATGTTTTAATAATTGTAAAGCGCTTAGAGCTTTATGATAAGCGCTATATAAATGCCTAAATAAATAAATAAATGTAACTATCATGCTTTGGATATGCTTCTAGTGTGTACTTATTGCTTGGGTGTAATGCAACTATCATGCTTTGGATATGCTTCTAGTGTATACATATTGCTTTGGTGTAACATAACTATCAGGCTGTGGATATGCTGTTAGTGTGTACGTATTGCTTGGGTGTAGCATAACGATCAGGCTGTGGATATGCTGTTAGTGTGTACGTATTGCTTGGGTGTAGCATAACGATCAGGCTGTGGATATGCTGTTAGTGTGTACATATTGCTTGGGTGTAACATAACTATCAGGCTATGGATATGCTGTTAGTGTGTACATATTGCTTGGGTGTAATGTAACTATCAGGCTGTGGATATGCTGTTAGTGTGTACGTATTGCTTGGGTGTAACATAACTATCAGGCTGTGGATATGCTGTTAGTGTGTACATATTGCTTGGGTGTAACATAACTTTCAGGCTGTGGATATGCTGTTAGTGTGTACGTATTGCTTGGGTGTAACATAACTATCAGGCTGGGGATATGCTGCTAGTGTGTAAGTATTACTTGGGTGTAACGTAACGATCAGGCTGTGGATATGCTGTTAGTGTGTACGTATTGCTTGGGTGTAACATAACTATCAGGCTGTGGATATGCTGTTAGTGTGTACTTATTGCTTGGGTGTAACGTAACGATCAGGCTGTGGATATGCTGCTAGTGTGTACTTATTGCTTGGGTGTAACGTAACTATCAGGCTGTGGATATGCTGCTAGTGTGTATGTATTGCTTGGGTGTAACATAACGATCAGGCTGTGGATATGCTGCTAGTGTGTATGTATTGCTTGAGTGTAACATAACTATCAGGCTGTGGATTTGCTGCTAGTGTGTATGTATTGCTTGAGTGTAACATAACGATCAGGCTGTGGATATGCTGCTAGTGTGTATGTATTGCTTGAGTGTAACATAACTATCAGGCTGTGGATTTGCTGCTAGTGTGTATGTATTGCTTGAGTGTAACATAACGATCAGGCTGTGGATATGCTGCTAGTGTGTATGTATTGCTTGGGTGTAACATAACGATCAGGCTGTGGATATGCTGCTAGTGTGTATGTATTGCTTGAGTGTAACATAATGATCAGGCTGTGGATATGCTGCTAGTGTGTATGTATTGCTTGAGTGTAACATAACTATCAGGCTGTGGATTTGCTGCTAGTGTGTATGTATTGCTTGAGTGTAACATAACGATCAGGCTGTGGATATGCTGCTAGTGTGTATGTATTGCTTGGGTGTAACATAACGATCAGGCTGTGGATATGCTGCTAGTGTGTATGTATTGCTTGAGTGTAACATAACGATCAGGCTGTGGATATGCTGCTAGTGTGTATGTATTGCTTGAGTGTAACATAACGATCAGGCTGTGGATATGCTGCTAGTGTGTATGTATTGCTTGAGTGTAACATAACTATCAGGCTGTGGATTTGCTGCTAGTGTGTATGTATTGCTTGAGTGTAACATAACGATCAGGCTGTGGATTTGCTGCTAGTGTGTATGTATTGCTTGAGTGTAACATAACGATGAGGCTGTGGATATGCTGCTAGTGTGTACTTATTGCTTGGGTGTAACGTAACTATCAGGCTGTGGATATGCTGCTAGTGTGTATGTATTGCTTGGGTGTAACATAACTATCAGGCTGTGGATATGCTGCTAGTGTGTACGTAATGCTTGGGTGTAGCATAACTATCAGGCTGTGGATATGTTGAAATGTTTCCCCTCTCACTCTGATGACCACTTACTTTATCCATGTCCAGCTGATGAATGTAACGATCATCTCTGCCCTGATAACATCACCTGCATTCCAAGAACCTTGGTGTGTAACAAAAACCCTGACTGCCCCGATGCATCTGATGAAGCCAACTGTTCTGGTGGGTTCCTGTTTTTTGTTTTTTTCGCCACTTATTTTCAATCATTATATAACATCCTGTGAATCCAGTATTTAGTTTCAATCATTATATAACATCCTGTGAATCCAGTATTTAGTTTCAATCATTATATAACATCCTGTGAATCCAGTATTTAGTTTCAATCATTATATAACATCCTGTGAATCCAGTATTTAGTTTCAATCATTATATAACATCCTGTGAATCCAGTATTTAGTTTCAATCATTATATAACAACCTGTGAATCCAGTATTTAGTTTCAATCATTATATAACATCCTGTGAATCCAGTATTTAGTTTCAATCATTATATAACATCCTGTGAATCCAGTATTTAGTTTCAATCATTATATAACATCCTGTGAATCNTCTGTGCTAGCCATGTTGAAACAGTCTCACTAGCTTAATGTAACCATATCTTCTGTGCTAGCCATGTTGAAACAGTCTCACTAGCTTAATGTAACCATATCTTCTGTGCTAGCCATGTTGAAACAGTCTCACTAGCTTAATGTAACCATATCTTCTGTGCTAGCCATGTTGAAACAGTCTCACTAGCTTAATGTAACCATATCTTCTGTGCTAGCCATGTTGAAACAGTCTCACTAGCTTAATGTAACCATATCTTCTGTGCTAGCCATGTTGAAACAGTCTCACTAGCTTAATGTAACCATATCTTCTGTGCTAGCCATGTTGAAACAGTCTCACTAGCTTAATGTAACCATATCTTCTGTGCTAGCCATGTTGAAACAGTCTCACTAGCTTAATGTAACCATATCTTCTGTGCTAGCCATGTTGAAACAGTCTCACTAGCTTAATGTAACCATATCTTCTGTGCTAGCCATGTTGAAACAGTCTCACTAGCTTAATGTAACCATATCTTCTGTGCTAGCCATGTTGAAACAGTCTCACTAGCTTAATGTAACCATATCTTCTGTGCTAGCCATGTTGAAACAGTCTCACTAGCTTAATGTAACCATATCTTCTGTGCTAGCCATGTTGAAACAGTCTCACTAGCTTAATGTAACCATATCTTCTGTGCTAGCCATGTTGAAACAGTCTCACTAGCTTAATGTAACCATATCTTCTGTGCTAGCCATGTTGAAACAGTCTCACTAGCTTAATGTAACCATATCTTCTGTGCTAGCCATGTTGAAACAGTCTCACTAGCTTAATGTAACCATATCTTCTGTGCTAGCCATGTTGAAACAGTCTCACTAGCTTAATGTAACCATATCTTCTGTGCTAGCCATGTTGAAACAGTCTCACTAGCTTAATGTAACCATATCTTCTGTGCTAGCCATGTTGAAACAGTCTCACTAGCTTAATGTAACCATATCTTCTGTGCTAGCCATGTTGAAACAGTCTCACTAGCTTAATGTAACCATATCTTCTGTGCTAGCCATGTTGAAACAGTCTCACTAGCTTAATGTAACCATATCTTCTGTGCTAGCCATGTTGAAACAGTCTCACTAGCTTAATGTAACCATATCTTCTGTGCTAGCCATGTTGAAACAGTCTCACTAGCTTAATGTAACCATATCTTCTGTGCTAGCCATGTTGAAACAGTCTCACTAGCTTAATGTAACCATATCTTCTGTGCTAGCCATGTTGAAACAGTCTCACTAGCTTAATGTAACCATATCTTCTGTGCTAGCCATGTTGAAACAGTCTCACTAGCTTAATGTAACCATATCTTCTGTGCTAGCCATGTTGAAACAGTCTCACTAGCTTAATGTAACCATATCTTCTGTGCTAGCCATGTTGAAACAGTCTCACTAGCTTAATGTAACCATATCTTCTGTGCTAGCCATGTTGAAACAGTCTCACTAGCTTAATGTAACCATATCTTCTGTGCTAGCCATGTTGAAACAGTCTCACTAGCTTAATGTAACCATATCTTCTGTGCTAGCCATGTTGAAACAGTCTCACTAGCTTAATGTAACCATATCTTCTGTGCTAGCCATGTTGAAACAGTCTCACTAGCTTAATGTAACCATATCTTCTGTGCTAGCCATGTTGAAACAGTCTCACTAGCTTAATGTAACCATATCTTCTGTGCTAGCCATGTTGAAACAGTCTCACTAGCTTAATGTAACCAAGATATAACCAAGGGTAGAGTTAACTAGCCCACTCTCCAAACCTATATTTTAACCACTATCTAACAGCTCACTGGACATGCCGGGAACAGCAATGGAGATGTAACAACGGCCACTGTGTTAGCCAGCAGTTTTTCTGTGATTATGACAATGACTGCGGCGACTGGAGTGATGAGCAGGAAGCTCTGTGCCCAGGTTCATTGTTTATGTCAATACTTAGATAATTAATTGATGACTGGCTCTGTGCCCAGGTTCATTGTTTATGTCAATACTTAGATAATTAATTGATGACTGGCTCTGTGCCCAGGTTCATTGTTTATGTCAATACTTAGATAATTAATTGATGACTGGCTCTGTGCCCAGGTTCATTGTTTATGTCAATACTTAGATAATTAATTGATGACTGGCTCTGTGCCCAGGTTGAGTGTTTATGTCAATACTTAGATAATTAATTGATGACTGGCTCTGTGCCCAGGTTCATTGTTTATGTCAATACTTAGATAATTAATTGATGACTGGCTCTGTGCCCAGGTTCATTGTTTATGTCAATACTTAGATAATTAATTGATGACTGGCTCTGTGCCCAGGTTGAGTGTTTATGTCAATACTTAGATAATTAATTGATGACTGGCTCTGTGCTCAGGTTCAGTGTTTATGTCAATAGTTAATTGATCACTTGATTGTGGAGTGCTGGTCACACAAACAACTGTATAAGAAATCATGGCTGGTTGGTCTTAGAATTTCTGCAGTGTTTTTTAAGCCAATGATATAATTATTAAAATATGCTTGTCCCAATGTGTCAAAGTGTAGATCTGTACTTGTTGTCCCAATGTGTCAAAGAATAGATATGTACTGTTGTCTAAATGTGTCAAAGAATAGATTTGTACTGGTTGTCCCAATGTCAAAGAATAGATCTGTACTGGTTGTCTAAATGTGTCAAAGAATAGATTTGTAATGGTTGTCCCAATGTGTCAAGTATAGATCTGTACTCATTCCAGTGTGTCAAAGTATAGATGTGTACTGGTTGTCCCAATGTGTCAAAGTATAGATCTTTATTGGTTGTTCCAATGTGTCAATTATAGATCTGTACTCGTCCCAATGTGTCAAAGCATAGATCTTTAATGGTTGTCCCAATGTGTCAAAGTATAGAACTGTAATGGTTGTCCCAATGTGTCAAAGTATAGAACTGTACTGGTTGTCCCAATGTGTCAAAGTAAAGAACTGTACTGGTTGTCCCAATGTGTCAAAGTATAGAACTGTGCTGGTTGTCCCTATGTGTCAAAGAATAAATTTGTACTGGTTGTCCTAATGTTTCAAAGTATAAATATGAAGTGCTTGTTCCAATGTTTCACAGAACAGATCTGCACTGGTGGGGACTGTCCAAATGTGTCAAAGAATACATCTGTACTACTAATCATAGTTTCTGAAAATTAAGTGTTGCCTTCACACCAGATTCCTCTTCTAACTGGGTAACATAATGCAATGAAAAATATATTTAAAACAAAGAAGAAATAACCCAACCTTAAATCTTTCTTTTATCAGTTCACCAGTGCTCAGAAGATCAGTACAGGTGCAGTCCAAGCCATTGTATTGCCAAACATAATCTCTGTGATGGGATCAGAGACTGCCACAATGGAAGTGATGAAGCCAACTGTGCTGCCAAGAACTGCTCTGAGGGACTGTTCAGCTGCGGGACATACTGCATCCTTGCAAGTTGGAGCTGCGATGGAGACTTGGACTGTCATGCTGGGGAGGATGAGCTGAACTGTGGTAAAGAGAGTCGTTTGTTCCACATAGACGTTTAAACTATTGGCCACTGATGCCATCAAGATGTCAAGACATGAATATCTTTTCTATATTCATTTCATCAGTTGAAACATAGGAAAAAAACATAGGGAAAAAAAGAAAATAAACAGAAAAAGAAACATTAAAAACATAGAAAAAATCCAAACCAGTGTTGATACATTGATTGTGGATATTTTGAAGCACACAATTTTTGTATATAGATTTTTAAAAAATGTTCTTAGCTTTCAATCTTGTAGACCTTACCAATCTTTTAGACCCTATATTTCTCACTTTTAAAGAAGATTTAACGCAATGCCATTTTGTTGTTGTACCATTGATTCCACTGTAGATGGTAAACAGAAAAGAACATGTGACTCTTTATTTGATCTTCGGACATTAAAAAAAAAAATCTCTAATAATACTATTACCACAGTAACCAGAATACCAATAATACCATCATATTTTAACTAAACCTTTTCTTTATTTTTAAGTTTTGTCTTACGGAAACTTCCACGACACTGTCTTTTTCAGTTTCAAGCTTCCTCATCTCTTGTTCGGCATATTTCTGTAACACTGCTTGCTCGCAGTGTGTACAAAATGATCTCTTGTCAAATTAGGCAGTAGTTTCTCACTATGGGCTAACATAGCTGATCCATGCAGATGCACACAACTTAGGAAAGAGTCGAAATTGTCATTGCGCATTACATAACATAACAATGTTATACACCAAGATTGAAGTCAAATGTTGAAGTACATATTAAGCCTTGTACCAAGCCTAAGCTGTTTGATAGAATTGAGCCTTGAACCAAACCTAAGCTATTTGATACCAAGCCTAAGCTATTTGATTGAATTATGCCTTGCACCAAACATAAGCTATTTTATAGAATTAAGCCTTTTACCAAGCCTAAGCTATTTGATAGATCTGCATTGATCAAAATGTTATTAATTGAATATTAGTAAGACATGGATTCATCAAAATGCACCAGGTGGTCATTGTGATGGTCAGTTTCAATGCTCTGATGGGGAATGTGTGCATTTGGAAGATGTCTGTGATGGTGCCAAACATTGTGTTGGTGGTGAGGATGAAGGCAATTGTTCACATGCAGGTAATGACATTTTCATTGTTTGTGAAACTGTAGCGCGTGTCAGCATGAGAAAACAAAAGCTTTAAGTGACTCTCATGATCTGTGTAATGAATTCAATGTTTTTCTTGATAATGTGTATGAATTCAATGTTTTTCTTGATAATGTGTATGAATTCAATGCTTTTCTTGATAATGTGTATGAATTCAATGCTTTTCTTGATTTTTTTGATACATTCAGAAAAGAAATGTACATACTTTCACCATTAACTCCCTTAACAATTTTAGAATGTCTACCCTGCGTTATCTTATGTCTATATCTTCAATTGAAAAAATATTATTTTAAAAAAGCTGAATTTGATAAATTTAATGAATCAATGTTAACTATTGTATATCAGTATGAAGAGGTTATAAGGAATTTAATGAAAATCCATCGTGCTCATTGCTTGACTCTATTTCAAGATGGCTGCGGCCCTCATCAGTTTATGTGTTACAATGGAGACTGCATAGACAAATCCTCTTTGTGTAACTCTGAGCCAGACTGCCTCTCACATGAAGATGAGTCACCTCAAACTTGTTCAGGTCTGAAATTGTTACATTTGATTGAGTTTATGAAACTTTTGTGCAGATTTTAAGCAAAACTATTAAATCACATTTTAAATATGGCATTAATATTTGGAGAAATGTTCTGCACAATATAATTATTTCATATTGGGTATTTAACATATGAATTTTATTTCCATGCTAAAGTTTTAAAATATTTTAAATGGAATAAAACAAAGGAATATTCCTTCCAATTCCCCTTTAAAAAATTATGCCTCCATATTATAAAAAGTGTAATTTACATCATAAAAAATTATTTTTTTTGATCCCATACATCAGTTCAATGTGATGAGAATGAGTTCCAATGCTCCAGTGGCCAGTGTGTGAGATCGCAATCTGTCTGTGATGGTAACAATGATTGCTTGGATAATTCAGACGAAAATCCTGTTGATTGCCATGAACCAAAAAGAGGTAGTTAAATTTTATTGGAACCAAACGATGTCACAAACAATAAAACCACAGGCAATAAAACCGCTAAATATGCAGCGTTCTTCAGTGCTATCCCTTTGAGATAGTGTTCTCACATATTTAACGCACATTAAATTATTATTAGTGATCTTGTTGAGTTCATTTTAGGATAAGGCTGAGCATATCAAGTTATTCATGATACTTGAGCTATGAATAGGCTCATTCCCCTACTAGTGCACATGAATTGGTTGTTCATTGCTTTGTTGCAGTGGAAAGTTCTTATAAGTTTAGTAACTGTTGGTCTCAAATTATAAGGAGCTGTTAAGAGGGTCTGTGCTGGAACATACCTCTTAGCTCTCTATGACACAACTCTGATCTCTCTGTAGCACAACTCTTAGCTTTATGTGACACATTCTTAGCTCTCTGTAGCACAACTCTTAGCTCTCTGTGACACATTCTTAGCTCTCTGTAGCACAACTCTTAGCTCTCTGTAGCACAACTTGCTCTCTGTAGCACAACTCTTAGCTCTCTGTGACATATTCTTAGCTCTCTGTGACACATTCTTTAGCTCTCTGTAGCAGAACTTGCTCTCTGTAGCACAACTCTTAGCTCTCTGTGACACATTTTTAGCTCTTTGTGACACAACTTGCTCTCTGTAGCACAACTTGCTCTCTGTAGCACAACTTGCTCTCAGTAGCACAACTCTTAGCTCTCTGTGACACATTCTTAGCTCTCTGTGACACATTCTTAGCTCTTTGTGACACAACTCTTAGCACTCTGTGACACATTCTTAGCTCTCTGTAGCACAACTTGCTCTCTGTAGCACAACTTGCTCTCTGTAGCACAACTTGCTCTCTGTAGCACAACTTGCTCTCTGTAGCACAACTCTTAGCTCTCTGTGACACTTTCTTAGCTCTCTCTGACACAACTCTTAGCTCTCTGTGACACATTCTTAGCTCTCTGTAGCACAACTTGCTCTCTGTAGCACAACTCTTAGCTCTCTGTAGCACAACTCTTTGCTCTCTGTAGCACAACCTTTAGCTCTCTTTAGCACAACTCTTAGCTCTTTGTAGCACAACTCTTAGCTCTCTTTAACATGTTGTAGATGGTTTGTATATAAATAAGCACGTAGAAACTTTTTTACAAAACTCATTCTCTTTAATTACTTTTATTTCTGTATTACATTTATTTTACATTTCCTAATATCTAAACATCAATTAATTAAAAAGTTACTAATTAGACACACTCAACTAAAATTTAAAAAAATAGAGCATTTTAATGATAGTAACATACATTTCTTTTTCCTCAACAAATACGAATACACATGGATCTAGGTGTGCTGAAGGCATCTTGGTGTGCAAAAGGCATCTTGGGGTTTCAGCATCTTGGGGTGCTGAAGGCATCTTGGTGTGCTCAAGGTATCTTGGTGTGCTCAAGGTATATTCAAGTCTTGAAAATGAATAATTTGATAGTTTTATATTGTATACTATTACTACCTTTCAACAGGACTCCCTATTGTTAGTTGTGAGACTGGTTTCAAGTGTCTGATAGGACAGTGCATAGACCAGGCTGATGTGTGTGATGGTAAACTAGACTGTAGAGATGGCTCTGATGAAAGTAATTGTGCTGGTAATAATTGACAGTACTTACTTTTAAAAGTTGTGTTAATTTTCTGTTTCAATATGGTGCATGATAAGCAAAACTGGTTTCATCGTCATACAATCTTTCATCGTCATACAATCTTTCATCGTCATACAATCTTTCATCATCTTCCAATCTTTCACTTTTATCTTTTCGGTGTATTTAAAAAAAAGCTGAAATATGATATTTCACATTTTAACACAAATTATTTGTATTTCATCTCAGCTTTCAAGTAGGGGAATTTAATAGTCAACTTTCATCAAATAATGGTTTTGAATAGTTTCAAAAAAATAAAATTATGTACTTGACTTAAACCCCATATTTCTTTCTGCTCACTCTTTAGTTGTGTGTAAAACATTCAACCCATGCAGCCAGAACTGTTCAGAGAGTCCAACGGGTCCAGTGTGCTCATGTTCAAAAGGCTTCCAGCTTATCGATAAAACTATCTGTGAAGGTGATGTCATGTGCAGCCTTAAGAAAACAAATTAATAAAATTGTGTAAATGATTAATAATATTACTGTCTGTCTTAAGAAATCAGGTTGAAGAGTGTTTGCTCTAAGCTGTTTGAAAACAAGTAATACTGACAACTTCATTACAGATATTGATGAGTGCAAGTCTAATAACGGAGGCTGCAGCCAAAAATGCTACAATAGAAAAGGGGGAGTGCAGTGTTTTTGTCATGATGGTTACTTACTAGGAACAGATCGGCGCAGCTGCAAGGTTAACGGTAAAAAGTTTTAATTTTGAGTTTTAAAATATTTACCGATGCCTTAGAAAACTTGATAAAGCCACCTCTTTTCATGGTTGATTTGTTTGAACCAAAGTCTCTCACCAATTACATCAACTAAATAAAACTATATTCTGACTGGATTTGGCATTATTTTTATTGCAAGTTATTGTGATTGAAAAAGACATGCAAAAATGTGTTATCCTCCTGTAGGTTCAAGACCATACTTGTTAGTTGGAACTCCAGCAGGAGTAAAGCAAATGTCATTGGATGGAAGAAGTTCCCAGTTACTTGTAGAAACCCAGTCCATGCCTATTCATTTAGATTTTAATGTCCACACCAACAACACCTACTGGACGGAGTTTGAGGTTAGTGCAACAGTTGGAGGTTAGTGTTACGTTCGGAGTTTGAGGTTACTGTAAGTCGGAGTTTAAGGTTAGTGTAACAGTCGCCACGTTAAAAAGCAGGTCATGTTTAATGCTTTTTTTATCCAAATTTAATGAACCAAGGTGAAATATTGTTAACTGCTTCATACAATTAAAATTGTTTCAGGCAAGCAAATCTTCAAAAATGGCTCTTCGGTCAGCTAAAGGGACTGTACTTCAATCCTCAGGTGAAATTAAGGGACTTGCTATAGACTGGGTTACTGGGAATATTTACATCTCTGAGGTAGGTCAGGTTATTAATTTCTTTTTTTATTGTGAAATAAATTTTAGATCAATTATTTAATAGTGTGTAGTCATTCTGAGAAATAATTTACCTTTTAATGACAGAATAAAGTATTAGTCAATTTATAAATAACATATGCAGATTTGATGGTTAAGAATATGTGATAGTTTTAGACATGGGTGCCACTCACTGAAAGCTGTGAACCCTGAAATCCCTTATTAAAAATTTCTTGAAACCTGAAACTTCGACAAATTTTCCAATCCCTGAAACTTAATGAAACTCAAAATTCCAGACTATCGCAATGTGGCGTTTTTGTTGATTAATATAAAAACAAGCATTTTAGCATGAAACTGTCAAATAAAACATTGAGATACATCACAAATGAGCAAAATGAAACAATTAAAGTGTATACATGTAAATATTTATTAAATTTCCTAGCAATAGCAATTTTGCAATTTACTTAGACTTGAAAAGTCAACTTTAGCAATGTTTTATCTGGGCATTTTTAGAACAAACGTATAGCTACAACAAGTGGCAAGCATCTATTCTTATATGGAGGTAATGTTCTCTTCTTTATGATGAAAATGGATAGTTTGAGTCAACACACTTTAGGGATTAGTGTCTATAAAATCTCCCAAGTGTGAGAGTTTCATAGTTTGACACATAAAATTTCATAAATTGAGAAGTTACAGAAGTGGACACCTAAGATAGGTGATAAAGCTGGTATCCTCAGATGATTGACTCTGACATTTTCCCCTTGAATACTTGGTATCAATATTTCCAGCATAGTATACTATTTTTGACTTGTTCAATCATGATTGCTGTAACTGTAATGCCCATCAGTTCTTTAAAGTTAAAGTTAAAGCAACTGTTGGGCATTACATTATTTGATTGAGCCTAGATCCTGAATAGTGAAACAAAATAAAATATATTATCATATTTGATTTATAATTTATAGTAAGGCATACATAATAATATAGACTATATTATACCAGTACTAAACTACGGCAATACAGAGCATTATAAATAATAATATAGTAGAATTACCGTAAATTATACCCAGAGTCAGAACACAGGAGTGCATAACTAATAAATAAAGACTAACTGGCTAACTAAATACAGTTATGTTAGGCTCACTAACAATAACTTAATCATGTTAGTCTATTTAAAATTAGAAGGCTTACTCCGTAATTAAATGTAAAGTTAACTTAAGAAGTCTTTAAAAAAAAAATTAAACGCCGCCGAGCTCTTCTAATACCTAACAAAAAATTCTTGTCGCCTGCATACAGTAAAACATAACAAAGTACGCTAAGCTTAGTCTTGTTAGACAGCGCTTGGACAAGTACTTTTCTTTTTATGATAATGGTTACCGAACAGTTAAAAACTAAATTAAAAAGATATTTACTAAATTTTACACTTTGCTTACCCAAACACTTCAAATATCTCTTGATCGGCGATGTGAACTGAAAATAAATATTTCTGGTCTATCGAGGCAGTACGGTACCGGGGTACTCGAAACATGTAAAACTCAAAACGCATGCGCTAGGGGAAACCAATAGCTCTCTGGCAACAGAAAGGCTAAAAATAGACGAGATCGGCGCTTAACGTCCATTTTAAAGGAATTTTCCTGGTTTTTCGCACATTCTGTTAGACGTTGATTAAAAAAAAAAACCCAGACAGAATCTGTATTTGAATAAATTGAACTGGCGAATCCGGAACGAGAGAATATAAAAACTAGTGAATCCGGAACTGAAAAATATTTAGCCTCATGAATCCGGAATTCCGGGATAACCCGGAAAAGTGGCACCCCTGGGCTTAGATAAGATGTAAATTTATTGAAATACAACTCTCTACATCTTTGATTTGTTGTGCTATCAACTCACACTCCAGTACAATTTTAAAAATAATTTTGTACAAGTTATCTTTGTGACAGCAGGTACAAACAAAAATCTGGAAAGGTCACTGAAGCACTGACAGCAAGTACAAACAAAAATCTGGCAAGGTCAATGAAGCACTGAAAAAATGTGACTAGGTCACTGAAAAACTGACAATAAGCTTACGAAATAATGACATGCTTAATGCCCTTTTCTTATTGATTCCCTCCACAGGTGATCGGCAATGAAGGCAGCATAAAAGTCTTTGATGGACATCAAGATATGGCAACTCTGATATTTGATTCCCACTTCAAGCCAGAGTCAATAGTGGTGCACCCATACAAAGGGTGAGCTATAGAATTCTTTTACTTACCTTATGCTGTAGGCTTCCTTCAAACCAGAGTCAATAATAATAATAATAATAAAGTTTATTTGAAAAACAGGCTTCATCCCCAAAAGCTCGAAGCGCGGTACAAAGTCAACCATATTAAAAAGAGAAATAAAAACAATCTAAAATTTACCACATTTAAAAACAGGCGCAACAATATAAAGCTACATACGAGCATACCCAGTCAAAGTCTTTCATCCCGTTTCAACCACAAGGAACACAAGCCAATATACATTAACTGAAAAAGATGGTAGATAGCATCACCCCAGAAGGTGTTTGCGAAATAGATGTGTTTTTAAATTGGTTTTAAAGGACTCCAGTGTCTGGCTGTTTCTGAGAGCGACTGGAAGTGCGTTCCAAATTGTTGGGCCGGCAAATGCAAAAGTGCGCTTTCCGTAAGTCTCAAGGCGAACACACGGTATTGATATTTTGCCACTATCGGATGAGCGGAGCTCTCTAGTGGGTACATAAGGCGTCATGAGTGCTTTGAGATAAGATGGCGCACCCGTACAAAGGGTGAGCTACTTATACAATTCTTTTACTTTCCTTATGCTGTAGGCTTCCTTCAAACCAGAGTCAATAGTGGTGCACCCGTACAAAGGGTGAGCTATACAATTCTTTTACTTTCCTTATGCTGTAGGCTTCTATGCAGATAACCATATTGATCAATACTAAGGCGGCGAATTTTGAATAGTAAGAAAAATTCTGAACTTTCACATTTGGAACTGATGGGATTTATGCACTGTCACTTGTATTGACTACATTCCCAGATGGGAGAAGTTAGGAGTACAGCATCCTACCACCAGACAGGGCAACTTGTATTTGACTACATTCAGAGATGGAAGAAGTTAGTAGTAGTAGTACATTCTCTTACCATCAGACAGGACAAATTGCTTTTGACTACATTCAGAGATGGGAGAAGTTAGTAGTAGTAGGAGTAGGAGTAGAGCCTGTACTAAAGACCAGTTAAATGTTCATGATTAAATGGATGTCATATGATAGTTATTACCCAGTATTATAGAACTAAAAATTTGGATTTTATATACAGGTAACTTGACATACCCGGTACAAGTAATGTACCGGTACCAACCACATTTGACCAGTTATATGTCTGTCTTATGTTCTATTCATATGTCTTATGTTCTATTCGCCTCAGTCTTATGTTCTATTTGTTTCTGTCTTAATGTCCTATTCATCAGTCTATGGTCTATTCATCTGGCTTATGTTCTATTCATCACAATCTTATGTTTATTCAACTGTCTTATGTTTTGTTCATCTGTCTTATGTTCCTTTTATCAGTCTTTTTCTATTCAATCAGTCTTATGTTCTATTTATCCCAGTCTTGTTCTATTAAATCAGTCTTGTTCTATTAGTCACAGCCTTGTGTTCTATTATAAAGTCTTGTGTTCTATTTATCATATTCTCATGTTCTATTCATCAGTCTCATGTTCTATTCATTAGTCTCATGCTGTATTCCTCACAGTCTCATGTTCTGGTTGTCAAGTGATTCATTGATAAAGCTGGAGCACAGCTGGATGGATGGCTTTTACCGCAAGGACATGTTCATCTTGTCTCCAAGTGCTAAGCCTGTTAGTTTGAGTATTGACCACACAGCTGAGAGGCTCTATTGGTTGAACTATTTGACAGCAACCTTGGAATCATGCAAGTTGGATGGAACTGAAAGGTAAAATACTGTCACCTTATTTTTAATAGTGTTTCCAAGAATTTTTATGGCAAGGAATTCTGTGTGTATTCTCTCTCAGATTAGAGACTATTTAGCAGAAGAATGACAAGGCTTAGCAGACGCATGACAAGGCTGTACAATACAAGAATTCTATTCAAGCAATATTTAATAGTCTGTAAAACAATGTACTCGTAAAATAGTGTACTTTAAGTATGAGCTTCTCCATTATATATTTTATAGTATTAGGGTGGAAAAGCTAAGGTATTCTAAATCTGTAAGCGATTGTACTTACTAACAGGGCATTAACACAGCAGACAATAAGTTGAGACCCTTTGATTTAACCTCTAATTCACAATTCATCATCTTTATATGTTTGTCTTAACCCCACTTAAATTATTTAAAGAAACATGAAATAATTTATAAAAAATTTTTTTAAAATCAATGTTTGTGATATCTTTGGAATTTTTCCATTGCTTTTCAATCGAAAAGTAAAAGTAGAAGTTTTCAAATTAACAATTTCCCCATTCAATTCACAGGTTCAACAAATTTTCCCCTTTTAATTTTACAGGTTTATAATTCCCCGTCACCCATCTCTCAAAGTCTACTCATTTGATGTGTTTGAAAGTGTAGCCTATTTGACAGACCAGAGACACAGCACTGTTGCCAAGCTCATGACCTATCATCCAGAACATGGAGCGCAGAAGTTTCAAACCTTGTCTCAAGTTGGACCTGTAAAAGTCATCCACAAGCTCAAACAACCTGAACGTAAGAATTTAACTCAAATTAAAGTAATGGGACTTTTTTAAAAACAGTGAGTACAAGATTGACCATGGCAATATTCAACCTGATTAGTAGCCTTGAGTTGAGCTGTATTTTGTTTAAAGGGAGGGAGAATCGCTCAATTCGTCAGCCTCACTCTCTGGTCCGTGCCCATTTGATCCAATGGTAAAGCTTGGTCCGGACGACTGAAATAGACTAGCAGTGGGGTTTTTTGTGTATGTGTTTCACTGCTCATTCTGCATTCCATGACGTTGCAGTTATCAGAATTTTCATTGTGTCATTATTATACCACCTATGGGATTCCATCTCTGGGCTTGATCTCAGAGTGTGTCTTCTCTTAGATGAGTTGCCATCCAATGTTACCAAGTTCCATCCATCTAGATAGAACTTGCTCTAACTCTAAAGATGAATTTATGGGGAAATATTTAAGGGGAATAAGTGGTGTCTTTGGCTCACGTGCAAGTCATAGGGGATTTTATAATTGTCTAGGTACGGATGTAGAATTAATTATAATTTTAGGAATTTGTCTAAGAAAAAAAATTAATCAGTCACCTAAAGCCTTGCTTGTGGAAAATTGAGTTCCAAGTTTTGTCCTAATTTTACGTCTGCAATTTGCTATGATTGGCTTTGCAAAGAGTATCAAACTACCGCTATTCAATAATGAAATGTCAAGAGTGACATGCTTTATATGATCGTAGCAGAAGTTTAAATATATTTTAGAATGGTCAGAGCAACTTTCATTTTGATAGGGTTTGGTACCAGCACCTGACCTATATGTAGTACCCGACTGGCATAATGCTATCTGCACTTAGGCAACTTGTCAATTGATATTTACTGAAGGATAGACTCATAGAATGACTTGGTGATCACATTTCTTTCTAATGGGCACTCATGTAGTTTTGGAAATGTTCAGTCAGTATGGTTAGATGACAAAGGCATTTGACTTGGTAGTCGAAGAGGCCTTTTCAGTATCATGCAAAGAATAGGTTGTCCCCCACGACTGCTCACAATACCCCATCCTGAGTTATCAGGCAGCGAAGCGGCACATTGGAGATCTCCCTTTGTAATGACAGCTTCCATCAGCACTCCCTCCATTGAGACCAATGGAGGCCACCTCACCCCAAAGACATCCGGCCGGCCAGTGATGTTGCTCTCACAGGATTAGCAGGAGGAGTCGGGATGGTATATTTTAATCCTAAGATCTACCCCTGTCCATCCTGGGGTCGCCCTCTAATAAGGATTTCTATAGTGGGTTTCTACCTCACAACTTATTTACAAAGCAGCTGGGATGAAACGGTTGCTTGGGAACAGCTACATCAATTGCGGTGTAATATACCATATATTATTCTCTATTATTTTAAAGTAAAGTATTGTAGATACTCAATTTTTAAAAAAGTCTGTATTGAAAAAAAAACAACTTAGTACTGTAAAGCTTACACTAGCATATTTTATAGGGTCTGCTTAGGAGTGGGTTATACTTTTTTAAAGATTTCCCTGGCAAAACTGGGGCGGTTGGTTATGAATGAACTCAGGCTTTAGAATGAGTATAAACCTAAAAATTTTGTACTGTATACCCAGTACCTGAAATTCATTCAAGTTTTCATAATCAAACGAATCACTCATCCTTTCCCTCCCTGTGTTATGTGAATCTAATTTAAAAAGTGTGTACTAAACGATACTACCACATTTATCCTCTCTGCTTTCAGTTTACTGTAGCAGAGAATGCAGGGATATTTCTATTTGAACACTACATTGACCAATGTCTTGTCATCTAAACAGGCTCATTTACACCCCACCCCCCCACACTTCATTAACAGTTAATTTCAAAGACCGATTGTTGAGTGGGACACCCCGGTCATACATTGTGATGGTTATCATAAATTATGTTCTAATGTTCAGATAGCCAGCAGAAAGGACTATCTGCTACGGTAAGAAAGAAAACCAATCCAAAAAAAGCCACATGAAATATTGTCCCAGGAGAAAAAGTGCTACACTTAAAATGTCAAGCAATATTGGATGACCCAAACTCTTGAGTCCGCATCTTATGCTGCCCACAATGGCAGCAGAAGCAGAATAGGTCAATGTTATCAATGTGCCATAGAGGGCATGAAACTAAAATGTCAATGCCATTCATACAGAGACGATGGCTCAGCCAGTGAAAATCTTAAATGTTTTTGCTGTTGGAGATGGATGAAAATGAAAAAAATCAGTTTTATGATTTTTTAATGCATTAATCATTGATTAGTTAAATTAGATTATTTTGTAACTTGGGCTTGGGAATGTAACAATGTTTAAAAAAATAGTAAAAATCATAGTGACTTACCTTTGCTTCAGAGTTATGCCATTTCATTTACAGCCGTCCCTCGTTTATCATACAACAAGGGTGTATAATTGACTCGAGAACCGAGCACGCGCTGTATCATTTTCACTATCTCTGTCAACTTTTTGATGTCTGAGTACATGTTATATTTAAAGAAAAAAAAGTGATTTTGACAATGTGTGAAGCCGCGAAAGTCGAAGTGGTGAGGGATGACTGTATAACTGTATACTTTCTTTCTTCCTTCCAGGACCCAATCCATGCCTCAATAAAAGTTGTATGTTCTTGTGTTTGCTAATGCCTCATGGGGGTAGATGTTTTTGCAAAGATGGCTATCATGATGGTGGGAATACCAGATGTTTAGGTAAGCATGACCCGCTCTAATATTTCTAGTTCAAAGATGTATTTCCTTAATGCTTAGAATAGATGTTACGATATAAAATGACTTAAGTCTCTATAAGCTGTCACCATTTTAAAATTTATCTTCATTTCAATTAAGAACTTTTCATTAATTCCCCTGCAATGCAGTTGCTTATTTGACACATTTCAATGGACAAATCAATTTTTTAACTGCAATTGTGGCATAAGTTTGTGTTACGGTACTTAATTTGATGCATCACAGAGGCTGATGTCCGCATTCGTACTATCACGTATGGACCACTGAAATGCTCTCACATGGTGGGTCTTCCGGCTATGCTCCTGGATAAAATTAAAAAGCACAGAATAATGCGGCTCACATTGCTCTTCGCAAACTTGACCATGCTAAAAGACTTCAGAGAGAGCTGCATTGGCAGCCGGTCCACACTCGCATAGAGTACAAAATTGCAACTCTGTGCTACCGCTGCTTGCATGACCTGGCGCCATCCTATCTCCAAGCGCTCATGACGCCTTATGTACCCACTAGATCACTCTGTTCATCTGATAGTGCCAAACTCTGGATACTGCAAGTTGGCCTTGAGACCTATGGAAGGCGCACTTTCGCTGGCTCAAGAATCTGGAATGCCCTTCCTGTCAGTCTCAGAAACAGCCAGACCCTGCAGTCTTTCAAAACTAAGTTGAAAACACATCTTTTTCGCACTCACCTGCTGGGGTGATGTGGTCTACCTCCTTGTTTCCAGCTTGCTCATATTCCTCGATGTAGATTTTGTATGTTGTGTTTTGTATTTTATTTATAGAAAAATATAAATTGTCATATATGGTTGACTTTGTACCCCGCTTCGAGCCTTAATTAGGAATGAAGCGTTTTTTTGAAATAAACTTTAATATTATCAATTTATTACGATATGGAGGCAGGCTTATAATACTTACATTTAGTAAAATAGTAATTTACACTCTTTTTAAAAAAAACATGCACAATATCTTTTGTCAATGTTTTTCCACAAGGGCAAAAAGTTGATGATACCCAAACGGTGGGGACCAAATCAACTCCAGTGACTGACAGAGTAATTTGTTCCCTTCTATGTCAAAATGGGGGTGAATGTATGTTGGAAGGGGATCTAGAGTCTTGCAGGTAACTAAGGTGTTCAATTTAAATTTGAGTTTATTCCTTAAACTTAAAACTAGTGTATTAAAACATGGGAAAAATTTAAATATTGGTCCCGGTGTTGGAGCCTATCAGTTTGGGCATGTGTGATTTAGAATTGACTAAGATTTCATGTCATAATCTTAAAAAACAATTCAAGTAATAATAGTTTAAGTCTTTATAACTTTTTCAATGTACAGTATGGTATATATCATTGTTAATAAAACTTCAATATGTAAATCTAAAAACTTTGTACACCGGTATTTATTCTGCTTTTCATTTCACAGCTGTCCTGTTGGATTTGAAGGAATTTTCTGTCAAAAGGTTTCTGTAAAGAAAGGCAACAATAAAGAATCTTCATTGGCATGGCTGGGTGGTATCATGGTGATATTAGTGGGTCTACTGTCAATTCTAATTGGACTTGTTGTTTATGTTAGACACAGAAGGTAATATTACTTACATGGAGTTGGAGTTAAGCATGTGAAAGCAATTTCAATTACCATATCAAAGCTTACTTATAAACTTATTTGACATTTCTTTTAAACATGTTGAAAGCATAAATAATGTCGTTATTAAAAGAATAGATACCAGGTGCCATATTACAATGAGAGTAGTAATTGTCCTTTCAGGAGGAGAAAGATTCTAGTCCACACAATCAGATTTCAGGACCCCAAGTTTAAGCTGACAAAGAAAGACGATGAAGAAGGTCTAGTTCCAGAAGTATCATTTGGTGATGAACTTTTAGAAGACTCCCAAAGAGGTATAGCTAATATTATTTATTTTTCTTTGTAATTGTAAGGCAAAGATAGCCATTTGAAATTTCAAATAATTTCCCTATTATTAATTTTCATTGATTTTATTACTGCATCAGACATTTTATTGATTGGCTACAATCCCTACAATTGACTTGCGTAGTTTCTTTATCCATAAATACTGGTGCTAGAGATTGTAGGAGGTTAAAATGTGTATATTACTGGTACGGATTAGTTATCTGGTCTTTCCGAGCTAGGTACAACTAAATCATCCTGGATACCATTAAGTTGGAGTTATCAAGTGGATGAGCTAACTAATGACCATAAAACATAATTCACCTTAGTCCTCTGAAGGCTTATGCCAACCATTTCTCTAGCTTTGTCATTTTACTTGGTGGTCACAGCTTGATACAGAGAAGATTTACATTTACCGCTCGATTTGCACTATTTGAAATTTTTTTGACAAAGGTTCTTAAATTACAATAGATAGACTTAATTGAGGTGAGAGACTTTTCCCCACAGAAACATTTGGTTGGTGTTTCTATCATTAGTGTTAAATTAACACACTGTGCATCGTCTATTCTCAGAAATACAATTTACAATGTTTTTTTTGTTTACTTTTGTTCCAGAATAAAAACTATGTCAATTTGAACTGGTGGACAACACAATTCTATGTACTGGTAATAGTATTAGTTTCTCTGATATCTGTATATGCCGTACATGGAGACATCCGGTGATCATTGTTCAAGTATCGGAGCTAACTTTAACAAAAAACTTTATTCTTGTTATAGCAGTATGTTTGCTCACTTTCAATCATGTGTGCTTTTCATGTTCACTTTTTGAAAGGTTTTAAAAGAAAGAAAATCTTTTGTTTGAAATTGATGTGAATGAAACTTTAATCAAAATGACTGACTCGATGCAATAAATTGATAAAATGTGTACATTTCTGACTTATTCATTCACTTGTGAAAAGAATGATGATGAATGGTAATTAATAATATTTGACAAGCTACAGGTACTTGCACACATATATTTATGCAATAAATATTCATACCATATAAGTATTGCAAAATTGTTTTGTATAGCTTTAATTTCTTTTAGTAAATAGGCCTACTTACAAAAATTTAAAACATAGTTCAGATAAATTTTTTTTTGCAATAATTTATTTGAAATAATTGTAAGCTTACATTTTAATTAAGCAGTCCAACTTCTCTTAAAAACAATACAATTTATACAATGAATTACACAAGTGGTTAAGTTCCAGTATTAGAAATGGGACAATGACAAGTAGTTCATTACCATAGCTTTTTAAAAAAATAAATGACTTGACAATTGAATGACGGCGGCATTTTTTCCACATATAAAGTTATTTAACAATGCTAGAAAATCTTTGAATTACATCTACACACAAAATTTCAGACAAATCTAACATGTTGCAAATTCATTTACTTTTTTCATTGTTCAAGTGTATTGGTACAGTAGTGCTAATAAAGTTCCAATAGACTATTGTCAATCTTGAAATATGACCTGTAAAATTAAGTTAGCATACAGTACCATTAGATGGAATTTTTAAAACTGCCAGGAAAAAATTATTGCAGTTGAATAAACGGCTTTGATACAATTTTGACATTACCCCCTGCAACATCCATTCCTCTAATCTGATGCTTACTTTATACAGCTGAATAAGATTTTATTTAAAGATTGAAACAAGCATGGAATAAAACAAAACAAGCTATTCAGATAAATCTGATGAAGATGCTTAACTAAAATAATATAGAAAACCAATAGCAGTATATGCAATTTCACGTTTTACTGATATTAGAGGTTCTCAAACTTTTTTAACAAGGGAGCAGTTGACTGTCCCTCAGTCATGGTTAACGGGCTGGACTATAATTATAATAGTTTTGTTTTTTAAATCATAAGTGAAAATCTGTGCATATTGCGCATATGTTATTTGTAAAATGTGGTACCAATCACAATTTTATCAAGATAAATTTCTTAGCATTTCAATGGGACATATTGGCATGATTTTGGCTAATAAGATGGTCATTGCCATGTGTACCCATGCAACAGCCAGGTGGACTGGATCACATGCCATAGTTTGAGTAGTCCTGACTTAAAAAACATAATAGCACTTGACAAATGGGTAACAACGTCATTGTACTGTTGTCTCTTATACACTTTGTAAAATGGATATGGCATGTTTTAATTTTAATTTGTCCTTTTCAATCAAAAGAGCTCGATGTGCATAATCAAGGTCAAGTTGGTTTAACTTTCCATTTAATTTTGGATGGAACCTAACTAAGTTGTGAAAATCATGTAAGCTTTACATATGAATCACAAAATACATTTACATATTTTTTTTATTACAGTATGAAAATTGTTCTAATTAAGATTCAGTCAAAATTAAATAAATCCTGTTTTTATGTTTAAAATTAACACTGTCTCCTTTAATTTCTCCCACACTATGTTTTGCATTGGAGAGCAATAATTTTCACTTATCTCTGTACACTGTAAGTCACTTCTTTTCAGCTTTGACAGGGACCATTTAGCCAGGCCCTTAAAAATGTGTCCCTCACATGTTATCCACTTTTCTTCTGGAGATGCTTGGTAATTGAAGTTTTAGCTTTAGGTATACAGTACTATGGTAGGTGTTAAATGTGCCTTGCAATGTTGATCGGAAGAACTTGAGTTTGCAGATTCTGTCTACCAGTATTGCTTCTTCCTAAGACTTCATTCCTTACATGATTGATGTAGCTGTCATATAACACTAAAAGAATATACTCAAATATGAATTATAAAAAATCTAGATTCAAAGAAATCAAGTGTGAAGCGTATATTGTTATTTGTAGTAAGTTGTATGATCTTTTTGTCAACTACATTTGAAAAAAAATTGGAATAGAATGCACATTTTCATTTGCTCACATTCTTCTAGCTTGCATCAATGAATAATGTGACATCACTTGTTGAAAAGAACCATTAAAACTTCTTTGACATTGCATCATAAGGTTGAGGATCACGTAAATATTTAGGGTCTTTTAAAAGTACAGGCATGTAACCAGAATTTCTTGATCGTTTTATAAGGTTAGACACATGCTTTTGCATAGGAATGCAGAGCCCTGTGACTGCTCGTCCATAAATTCGTCCTGTATATGGTGAAACAAATTGGCTGAGCAAACGCACATTTTTGTGATCCAAATGAACATTTTGTTTGCATAGGAAGCAACGGCGATATTCCTTGGCATATGGATTAGGCATATCAGAAACTGGCAAGTCACCTTCCATAGTATTAAGTAGGTTCTCAACCACTGATGGGTCGAATGGGTTGGCCCCAAATGTTAGGCATTGCGTTTTCGAGTCATCTTCAACTTGGGGTGTTTTTTGCTCACCTGATGAGGTAAACAATCGACTTGAGGTAATATGTACACTTGACTGAATTTCTGTTTTAGGAAATGAAAAGATTACTTTCTTTTCAAAACATGGTATTTTTGAACCGTGCTGCAAGTTTATTAAAACAAAAACTTGAGGTCCTATTGATCTTGGTGTATGAATAACCTTTAAGACATGCCTCAGGGTGGCCATCTTTACACGATACGATGGTATAAACAAAGTAACTATCAGTACAAAGCCGTGCTGTTAGACCCTTTGATAATAAATAGTGATTGTTATTAATAGAATATAAATTATAAAGGGAATTGAAATTCTATGTCATATTTTTAAAAAAAAGTTTTAACTGAATCCCCCAATACGATACGAGTTAATCTACCACCTGCAATAGCGTTTTAACTATTTGTCAAATGGTTGTTACTTTTATTGAATGATATTTTTCGTTATTTATTAATTTTGGATATATATAAAAAGAAATAGATGTTTAAGTTTATATAAAAATTATGTTTAAATTATAAATAATGTAAGCTTATTATAACTTTCATATAATATATGAAATATTTCTAGCCTACCTCAGAATACAGCAAATACATGATCCTTATTTTATGTTCCATACTTAATTTTTATACGGAGCTAAATTCTTGAAGGGAAACTACTCTGACGTTTTTATAAACAGCGATGGCTTCCAAAACAAGAAAATCAGATCCATTGTCGCGATATTTTGAAGAATTAAATGACGACGATTTAAGTAACAGTTCTGATGACGAATTGACTATTGAGAGTAATGGCAATGGAAAAAAACTTAATATTTTTAATGCTAACAAAAAAGTTGAATTGAATACAAGTAACTCTAAAAACGACACCACATCAAGCAAATCAGCAAGTTGCAAAGACGGTGCCGGTGAGAAACTTCTTGAAGAAACTAATAAATTTGCTACAAAAAAACTTCCATCTGCCCACGAATGCTTAAAATCTCAAAGTAAACCAGCTTTTTTACAAGTATTAGAAAAAAGGGAACCAAACTGGGATGTAATGGAAAAACGGCTTGATAAAGCTGAAGACAGTGAAAGCACTATTAATTTTAAAAGCAATGCAGTTCCACCTCCTTCAACATATGAGCCTATGACTGATCCAGGCATAAAGGTTGTTGATCAAGAAGGGAGGAAAAGAAAAAATATTGGTAGGCTATGTGACTATGTGTTATAAATGAATATAAAATGTAATGAGAAACTTAACCTAAATATTCTGGTAATCTACCACTTGAGTGTCGGCCAACAAAAAATCCAGCTGTTCCGGTTGGAAGGGCTATTTAAACAACTATTCTTGTATTATTTTTAATGACATTGGTTGTACGTATTCATTCCCATAATAATAGACAATTTTTTTTTAAATAGAAAAACTATAACAATTTTTTTTGAAATAGAGGATAATGTGTGAAAATGGAATTATGCATAGTTCTCCCCCCAGTTGACCATGAAGTTTTAAAAAATATAATTTCCACGAAAACGGTTGTGGTACATGAATCCACGTAAATATGAAGGGGAAAGATCACCGGCGCTTCTTGTGCCAAACTGTCTTTTTAGTTTACGCTTTCTGAGCATCCACGTTTTCCACATTCTGTGTGTGGACATCCGCGTTATCTGGATAAAAAAAAATTATTGTAGTCTCTTTTTCTTCCTGGCATATCGGTAGCTTGACAGTAAAAATTATTTAAATGTATAAGCATTAGTATTGTGCTATATAACTTTATATTATAGCCTTGGAAGCAAAAATATTAACAGACTCCAATGTAAGAATAGTTGTTTAAATAGCCCTTCCAACCGGTACAACTGGAATTTTTCTTGGCCGACACTCAAGTGGTAGATTACCAATAATATTCTATAATTTATAATCTTGGATTGTCAATAATACCAAGGTGTTACTTGAGTGTTACTAGATTTAACTATTAGTAACTATTAGTAGATACTTCGCCGAAGCAAGGGACACTCCTAGTAAATTTGTATCGGAAATGGGTGTCGGCGCAATAGGATCCGACTTTTAAATTTTTTCATGTGCATGTAATTTGAATAAATTAGGAGTCCTTTTGCTCCATAATTAAGGTTTGACTCCACCCATTAACGTTTGGAGAAATGTTGAACTACATTCCCATTGAGTTCATTTGTTCTTTATCTCATCTTTAAGTGAGGAAAATCGTATGTCAATATAAGGCATCTTCGCATTAAAAATTCAGTTTAAATATTTAAAGTAGGTCTTTCATATTAAAAGTGGGCCTGCATAATTTGTTGAAGTACATGTATGCAAAATTTCATTGAGATAGCTCATGAAACATTTTCACAATTCTCCTCAACATTGACTTCATTATGCAAAGGTCGCACAGGCTATTTTGGATTAGTGATCCCACCCCCTTTTAACTGGCCAAAAATGCCAATACTTAGCTTAGAAAATATTCATTATTACCTCTATATACATCAAAATATTTGATAACTTGTGTTTCAGAATGCATTTTGAAGACATTTAAACTAGAATGTTTAAATTTGAGCTTTAAAAACCCGGTAGAGTCCATATTATTAACGATCAGAATTGACAGTGTGCAAAAAGTCATGGGAAACCATTCACAGCCATTTGCATAATGCTATGCCATAGTACTACCCCAAGTTTCATTCATAAGAGTTTGCAGTGTGCAAAAACTATTAACACCATTGGTCAGGGAAAGCTTTAGTTCATTATTTATGTGCCAAAGTTGAAAGTTCAAAATAAGTTGATCCCATATAATATTTTAGTAGGTGCATTGCCTCATATAGACTATATAGCATATACCGGTATAATGGACACAACTTCCATAAACATATTTTCGTACAATTGTAGCACTTTAATAATATGCTGTTTGTTTTTCTATGGGTGTTAGTAAAATAAACTTTTTTGTTGTTAGAAAAACATCACTGCATCGAGTTTTAGCGGAATTTAAAAGATAGATTTTTACTCCCCTCTGTCACAATCGCGTTAACCTTTTATGCTATTTATAGAATGACCTTTGAATTGTGTCTAATAGCTGGTCCATTTTTACACAAAAATACAAAAACAATGCTAAAATAAGAAGCCTCGCAAGACTGGACATATTTCCCAAACAGAACCTCTAAATTTTCATTTTACCGATCTTTCACGGCATTGACTGAAGCTCAGAAAATGGCCGACTCACTCGACAGTCGATACAGAAAATTATGCTTTATCAGATCTTCTACGCTTAGCAGGTATGTAAAAACTAAATAATATAGTGAATTATTGGTTTAAAAATTCCGTTCCTATGCTTTTTGCATGTATGTTTGAAATATTAATAATATTTTACTCATTTTGTGTGCACCTCGACTTCTGAACTCTAAGCGTAATTAATGAAGATTGCTTATTATAATTAACTTTAATTGATATATTTAAAATGTTAAGTTTGTTATATATATATATATATATATATATATATATATATATATATATATATATATATATATNTATATATATATATATAATTTCATGTCATGTCCACACCAGCAATATTTAAATAAATTCAAATTTGAAGAAAAAAACTGTCAAAATGTTACAACTTTTAAATTGTGTGTATTCTATATTCTACAGCTGGTGAACAGTATGATGCCTTACAAAACATTCCTGGCTTGTGGAAAAGGAAGAAGACAGCTTTGCCCCATCTAATTATAGACAACAAACTGTTGCTTCAGTTGTTCACATTAAAAGAAGCCAATGACAAATCATGGGAGCAGGTACTCACTTTTGTTTACTAGATTTAGGGGCGTGAATGTTTGGTAGGGGAAGATTGTATTGTGAGTTGTAGGTCGTGAAGTTGGTTCGTGATGTTTAGCTTTATGGTATGCCGAGTTTTATTGTGTAGGGATATAACAGGCAGTGAAAAGTTAAGAAGATCATAACACTTACTTCCTATTGAAAGTAATTGCAAACTATTTTTAATTTAAAGTAAAAGCATCTTTGTTCAAAACTACATTTTGTTCATGCCTTTCTTTTTTAATTCCTATTTTAGCTGGAATCCTGCTTTGCTCTAATTAAAGGTCCAACCCATGGTTGAAAAATTTCTGAGGAAATTGATTGACCACAAAGATTTGAACAGTTTTCCTGTGCCAAACTTTAGATATGGATTTCATGAGTTCCACTCTATCTTCTTTTGGAGTAACAAAGAGAGTAATCAACTTTCCACCAGAAGTGTCAACAGTACATTCAGTTGAGTTAGAGGGAGTAGTAAATGTCTTTGTTATTGATTTTTACAAATGTTGTATTTTAAAATCTACTGACAAAGAGACCATTGAATTACTTTTTGAATGGTGGCATTTATATTATTTTTCTCTTCTACAGAAGCTCATTACTAAATCTAATAACTTAAAATTCAGTGGTGATATTATCCATTTATCTGATTTACTAAAAATGCATTTTCAAATTGAAAATAATATGTAATCTGATTTTTTAAAGTGATATTTACTAATACCCACCCACTCTGTACTTACACATTTGCACATTTCTTTTTTTTTTTTTTTTTAAACTTTGCTATTTAAGATTTTTTTTTTTTTCGCAGAGTGTTTTACCTATTGTTAAATTAAAGAGTTGTAAAATATATTTTATTTTTTTGTTTTTTTTGTTTTGTCCTTTGGAGTTTACATTTTCTCTTTTTTTTTTTTTTTTTTTTAAACTTTGCTATTTAAGATTTTATTTTTTTTCGCAGAGTGTATTACCTAATGTTAAATCAAAGAGTTGTAAAATATATATTATTATCTTGATTTATTTGTTGTGTCCTTTGGAGTTTAAGTCAAACTTCAAAGAAACAATTTAAAAAAAAATCATTTTTGTCCTCGACTTCTGTCAAATGTTTATATTATTCTATGGTATTTTATGGTGTCAGTTATGCTTATTTTATATGAAGACTACTATTATCTTCACTTCCTAAGTGATTTCAAACATATAGGATGTTATTTATTATTTTTTTATATATTGTAAAAAGTGTGAAATAAACTACCACCCCTTTACTATTTTGCTATTTGTCAAATACATATTGTTCTAAAGCAGGAGTCTCCAAACTATGGTCCATTGACCGGCTGCGGCCCGCGATGCCCTCTCATCTGATCCATGGAGACCTTTTTTTGACGCGTATACTGCCAAGATCAGCCGCCGCTTACGTGGACGTTATGTTTTTACCAAATTTAAATAGAGGCAGAGGCGCGCAATAGTGCGCTACGTTTTCCAACCGATCACTACATTACAAAATAATGAACTGCAGCTGGAGGTCATTGAGTTGCAAGCAAATGACCTCCTTAGGGACAAGTTCCAAGAAGGACTGGTGGGTTTTTACCAGTTTTGCCCAAGGAAGACTTTCCTAATGTCAAAACTTTTGCATCAAGTTACCTTTCAATCTTTGGAACATACCTGTGTGAACAAACATTGAAAGAAATGAAATACGTGAAGAACAATCTTGTCCGAAGATAATTTTAGGTCAATGTTGATGTTATGGAAATAAAATCTAAAGCCAGAAATACTGCTATTTTGGCAGCCAGGAAACAATTTCACCATGTTTACTAAAACAGGTGTTCATTTGTCAATGTCCAATAAAATAATAACTTAATTAAATAATATTAAATAAATAATTGAAAAGAACACCCATGTTCTAGTGTGTAGGCGGCCCCCAAATTGCTTCTTCTTCTTCTCTTAATCTGTATATTAAGGGCCCACGATCAATTTATTGATCATTTTGGCTCCTATGCATGTAGAGGGGATTTGCAATGTTTCTGTGCCTGGTGTTGATGAGGACATTTCACTGATTTCCAGTGCCACTTTGTGAGGGAATCATGCACTTGGGGTTTGAAGGCTTGAGGCAATAGACACAAATGTGTCTAGTGTTGTCGCCTCAACTGTTCCTTTTGAAAGTTTGTTCCAGTCCCTGATTGTCTTGGACAGGAATGAACTGGCTTCTTGCTGGTATGAGCCTGAATTGCCTGTCATGGCCTCATCGCTGTCTATGGGGGCGAGGGACGAGTTTCTGTAAAATACTGGAACAGTGGACCAGCCCATTATTTATCTTGTACATCATGGAGAGCATGGATTGTCGTCGTCGCTCCTCCAATGTTTGATAGTTAATGCGGGCCTGGGGCTGAAAAGTTTTGAGACCCCTGGTCTAAAGTACTTCTTGTTTGCATACTTGTATAGATCTTTGATTCTCTTTTAAATTGATATATGAATGATGTTAATGAGTAAAGAAGATAATTTTTGGTGAATTTTAAAAAATGGGTAATTTTTGTGAAGTTTTTGCCTCCCTTGTTAAAATTTGAAAATTTTACAGAATGCCATCTTTATGACAAATTAAAAGAGTTTGATTTCCCATACTCTTGAAAAAAATTGTGTTTGTTTTCTGTATAGTATTATGTAAGTATTGTAAAGGAAATGAGTGCATTGACATACATTATAAGATAATGACTCATGAATATGGGTCTTTGTCAGTTCATAAAAAGTAACAGGGAAATTTTTTTATAAGCAGTGGCGACGCCATCAAATTTAACATGGCGGGTCCCTTGCAGGTCTTAAAAAAATTTGGCGGGTCCCAAATAAATGTATTAAAAATAAAATTTATTTATTAAGTAATATTTATTAATCTACTAACTTAACCCATTATTGACTTTTGTTGTCGATAAAATAGCATAAATTTCTTAACAATGGTCGTAAAGTCATACATTTAATGTCCACATTCTTAGAATTCTTAGATCTTGCATCTTAAACACTCAAAAATGTTATTGGTTTAGTTTGACAAATTAGTTTGGAGTACCTATTACTAGATTGTTTATGAATAACTTGTTTTTTTTTTAAATACCGGTATGCAATAATTAGCCTGGAGTCATTCATTGACTTTTGAATGGTTCAAAGTTGAATTAGTTACAGTTAGATCCTATATGGGCTATATTAAGTGCTGCTTAAAATTCTTTTAAAAAATGCATACGACTTAGTCAAACAACTCAAAGGGTGTGTATGACTTAGTCAAACAACTACAAGGGGTGTATGACTAAGTCAAACAACTCATTTGGAGTGTAAGACTGTAATGCTTAGTAAAAAAACTCACAAGGGGTGTAAGACTTACTCAAACAACTCACTAGGGGTGCACGACTTAGTAAAAAAATTCACAAGGGTTGTAATCAAAGAACTCACAAGGGGTGCAGACTATAGAAAAGTTTGGAAAAAAAAACTGATTTATATTATTGATAAGTAGAGTCCGACCGAAAGTGATTTTCTGATTTCGGCCGAAGCCGAAAATAGGCCGAAAGATTAAAATGACTTTCGGCCGAAACCGAAAAAATGCCGAAAGTTTAAAAATGACTTTCGGCCAAAACTGAAAAAAGGCCGAAAGTTAAAAATGAATTTCGGCCGAAGCCGAAACCGAAAATGAAATATTAAGATATTTTGAAATTCGTTCCCGCATACATTCTGCATACATCGAAAATGATGTGGGAAAGTATAAATATTTACATTCTTTTTATAAAAAATGAGATAATCATGAATATTAATAAATAAACTTCTAATATAGGGGTCTCAAACTCGCGGCCCGCAAACTCATTTGTGACCCGCAAGACTATGGGAGTGAAGTTTCATGGCACATTGCGGCTAATTTTGTTGCTTGAGAAATTCTTTAGATTTCTTGTGTTTCTGCTTCAAAAACATTTGTCTTTGTAAGATATTTACTATGGGCTGACTATGAACCTGTACTACATAACGAATAACATCTTCATAAATTTGGATCAATAAAAGAATCTCATCTCTTCTAATTTCTTTTTTGCACCTCATAAGTTTGATTGCATCCAAATGTTTGACAATGTTTTGTGTATCTCATAAGTTTGATTGCATCCAAATGTTTGACATGTCTTGTGTATCTCTTAAGTTTGATTCCATCCAAAGTGACAATGTTTTGTGTATCTCATCAGATGACTAATAGAATGTTCAACCATGTTTTGTTCTAGGTGACGACTTACAAGATCAGATGACATCAACCAAGGCCTTCAAGGTTCATAAAGATGATAAAGAGGAAGATGATAAAGAGGAAGATGATAACTGATGAACAGCACAAGGGTTAAAGATTACACTTTCACCAGCACTTTTGTAATGTTGTAAATATGTTTATAAAAATATGAGATATAAACAGTATTCATAAAAAGATATATTTGTTTTTATTCATTACTTGTATTTATGATTGAAATTAAAGTGAGCCTAGTTGTTATCTAAATACATACAGGTACAACAGTGTGGTAGTCAACCAGTAATCAATCAAATTTTTTTTCTTCACACTACTTTTTTTTTTTTTTTACTAATATTTTGTTATGATCAGGATAATAAATGAAGCACTGAGTTTAAGCTGTGTGAAGGACTGCGTTCAAAGCTGTGTGATGAACTGCGTTTAAGCTGTGAGAAGGGCTGTGTTCAAGCTGTGTGAATGACTGCGTTCAAGCTGTATGAAGGACTGCGTTCAAAGCTGTGTAAAGGAAATAGAAGAAAAGGGTACTGGGTATGTGGAATCTTGAAATAGAAAGAGAGGAGGATACAAAAAGATAGTTTCCACTAAATGCATTCCTTAGCGACCAATTTAGTTTTTCTAACTAGTTTCTATTTCTTTTTGTTTCTTCATTTGTCCTGTCTGCTGAGGGAGGCTCTTCATTCTAACATTCTTCCTTTATTGTCCATTCCTTCTATTCAAGCTTCCACATACCTTTTGCTACTATTTTCTTATATTTATATTATGAAGTTTATTTCAAGACCATGGAACTAAAAATAAGTATTCAATTTTAACCTATCGACCCCCGTAAGATTGGAATGCTCATTATGAAAAGGAGCAAAATGCATAGTATACTTACTTACATTAATTTATAAAAAACTAAAATTGGAGCTATAACGATACAGAACCTAAAAGTAAAAGACATATTTATGTCAATTTCTCAGCCTCCCATTTTAATGGTATAAATGCACACTATTTGCATGGGGATTAAATTGATCACAAGATGAAACATTATTGGCGGTTTTATGACATTCAATTTATTTTGATGAGGTTTGATACAAAGTAATAATTTCAGAACCATTCTGTTCCTGTTTACAAGCATTACACTTTCATATCAAGTATAAATGTCTTATTTTGTCAATAACAAGTAAATGCATTTGTGGGATTGTGTTATTCATGTCTGATTTATGATTCGATGTTAGGGTGAAGAGCAACCAACTGAATTAATATAAATAGTGTGTTTCAGTCAGCAAACTTCATATTTAAGAGAGAGCGAGATTGACCATAGAAAGGTCAAATTAAGGAGAATTGAACACCAGAATTTGTAAGGTTAAGTGTTTGAACACCAGAATTCGTATGGTTAATTGTTATTTTATATAATTTACTTTATTTGACCCCAGCTGTTATCAAGGCCACCACCCCTTTATTCCTCCCCCTTACCTCGAACAACAAAAAGAATTATAATAATTTAACAGTAAAGTTACATTAACATGTACCTTATCAAAAGCCAAGTGAACTATTTACAAGTCTTTCATTAACACTTTGACTCATTTGATCCAATAAATGTAATCTGTAAATTTTTGGAAATTAATTTGTGCTAAAAAAAATGTCAGAATAAAACATCAATCATCAATCTCCTCCATTGCAATACAAACAACTGGGCAGGAAACAACATAGTGGATTTTAATTTCGTTCTCTACATTTTATTATGTTGTTTTAATCCAGTCCAGCCAACTGTATCTTGCTGTTTTAGCCAGGTGTGAAGGTTCCAGAGATGAGTTCATACCGGTAACACTAAGCAGGTGGTTTCCATTACATTACAAGTTTGAGAACCACTGATTTAGCAATAAGCAGGCGCTGGCCAGTAAAAGTTTTAGAACCAATGATTTATTTAAAGCAGGGATGCACAACTCAAAATGCAAGGCGGGCCGTAATACTTTTTGAAAAAAAACTTGTGCGGGCCGAAAGAAAATAGGACAGGATGGAAAGCTATTAAGAGAATAATAGTAATATATTTCGTTACTTTGCAAGCCAAAAGGTTGGAAATAATTTCAAACACTAAGAATTTTTGTTTTTTAACTTACTTGACATTAATGGATGGAAGCAGTGCATGCCAGAGGTTCCCAAAATTGAACATCCAGACCCAAGATTTAAGAAGCGTGGGGTCCATTTTATACTTATGAAAGGAGCAAAGGCCCAGCACAAAATTGGGAGTATATTATAATATACCTTTTGTTCTTTTTATATGCTATAATAATTAATCAATTTGAGACTCACTGTTTCAAATGTGTAGAAACGTAACAAATGTATTTCATAAACTGTTACGGGTAATATGTAACGTAAATTTACTCTTGTTATATTGGAGTGGTTCTCGACCTTTGGGTCGCGACCCCTTTGTGAGTCGAACGACCCTTAAACATGGGAACAGAACATCTGAAAACACATACTTATGAAGTACCTGGTAGCAATGAAAAAATGTTATGGTTGTGGGGTCACTACAACAGGAGGACTGTATTAAAGGGCCGCGGCATTAGGAAGGTTGAGAACCACTATTTTATTGAATGTTACACAATTGATCTCCTAATGCAATTATTATTGGCTTAATCATTCATTAAATTATTTCCAATACAGTCTGTTTACTAAAAATATTTAATGAAAAGAATAGATCGATGAGGGACCAGTAAAAAAATACATACCCCCACCCCCTTCCCCCCAAAAAAGTAAAATTTCGCTGATGTCCCCCCCCCCACCCCCTATTTGTTTTCTCAACGTACATACACATACCTATTGGCCTTCCCTCCTTTTTAAAAACAAAATAGATCAATTTAGTTATACTGTTATACCCCCGTACGGGTTTTCAACCCTGTCTGTTTGGTGTTGCAGTGGTTCCCAAAATGCGCCATGTCACCCTGGTGCAGGGCCACGTGAAGGAGGCAAGAGGAGCACTTGCCCAGGGCGTCGAAATCGTCTATAGATAGAACCTTAATAATGAATTAAACGATTAAATCCCAAGAACTTCACAAAGACAAGGGGTGCCTAAGTCAAAGTCGTCTTCTAACTGGTACTTGATACTCCCCTGACAAAGACAAGGGGTGCCTAAGTCAAAGTCGTCTTCTAACTGGTACGTGGTACTCCCCTGACAAAGACAAGGGGGTGCCTAAGTCGTCATCTTACTGGTACTCCCCTGACAAAGACAAGGGGTGCCTAAGTCGTCTTCTTACTGGTACTCAGAGATCATCTCTAGTTAAATCTAATGTAACCGTTGACCATCTATATTTAAGTCTGTTTATCACAGATCATCTCGAATTAAATGTGTTTTAATCACATGTCATCCCTTTCTAAGTCATTTGTAATAACACAGCGTCTCTTTTTAATTCAAATATAATAACAGAAGTCTCTTATATATATTTTATGTTTAAGGCAAATTTAATCAGAGACCATCTCTATTTAAATATAGTGTAACCGTTGACCATCTATATTTAAGTCTATTTAATTACAGACAATCGCGAATTGAATGTGTTTTAATCAGAAACAACCCCTCACTAAGTCAAATACAATAACAGATTGTCTCTTTTCAAGTGTAATGTAGAGAAATTCGGTCTAAAAGTTTGATAGACTTTATTTATTTATTTAGGCATTTTTATATAGCGCTCACCTTAAAGATCTAAGCGCTTTACAATTATTAAAAATATGTTTAAGAGAATGTCAGACAGTGTGTGACAACACGAGAGAGTGCCAGAGAGGTTCATAAACCGCAAGACAATTACAGACAGTTATTAATGTATCTTTTATTTGCACACACACACACACAATGTAAATACTTAAAGTACCTTATTTATTAGTTTAACTTTCCTTGGCCGGTAAATACTCATAGCAGTTAGCAGTTTAATACACCCCGGTAAATACTCATAGCAGTTAGCAGTTTAATCCACCCCGGTAAATACTCATAGTAGTTATTAGTGATTCCCTTCAGAGGCGTAGCGTGGTGGGGGCAGGGGGACAGATGTCCCCGGGCGCCAGCTAGTTAGGCGCGCCAAAATGTGCTTTGATATTATTTTATTGATGAAAATAATGGGTTTGAGAGTTGAAAAAAAAAGAAAAAGGGGCGCTAAAAATGGATCTTGTCCCCGGGCGCGAATCTTGTCCCCGGGCGCCAAACACCCTCGCTACGCCACTGATTCCCTCCCACCCGGTAAATACTCATAGCACTTATCAGTTTACTTCACAATCCCCCAACTATTTTGGCTATCTCCCTTCAGGTTCCTTAGCTTCAGGCTCTGACTACTTCACTGAGCCCTACAAGTCCCGTGCACCACGTAGAGGACAGAACCTTTGCACCGGGCAACCTAAACCAATTGGTCTAGATTCAATTTGTTACTTTAAACAACAAAAAAAAAAAAATTCAGACATTGGTAATTAAAAAAAAAATGTGTTGTTAATTTTCTTGAAATTGTTTTCGGGGTCTTTTTCTCGTGGGTGTTCTGACATGAGTCAATGTTCTGACACATGAGTCAATGTTCTGACACATGAGTCAATGTTCTGACACATGAGTCAATGTTCTGACACATGAGTCAATGTTCTGACACATGAGTCAATGTTCTGACATGAGTCAATGTTCTGACATGAGTCAATGTCCTGACACATGAGTCAATGTTCTGACACATGAGTCAATGTTCTGACACACGAGTCAATGTTCTGACACATGAGTCAATGTTCTGACACATGAGTCAATGTTCTGACACATGAGTCAATGTTCTGACACATGAGTCAATGTTCTGACATGAGTCAATGTTCTGACACATGAGTCAATGTTCTGACACATGAGTCAATGTTCTGACACATGAGTCAATGTTCTGACACATGAGTCAATGTTCTGACACATGAGTCAATGTTCTGACACATGAGTCAATGTTCTGACACATGAGTCAATGCATTTTTTAGAAGTTTTTATTTTTTTTAAAGTTTTTGTTTGTTTTTTGACGTTTGGATGGAATGCTAAAAATATTTTGTACCGGGTATCAATATGTTGTCTCACCAATGCGTCCTCGCAAAGTTTTGCAAACATTGGACCAACCCGTAGCTGGGGGCGAACCCGTAGCTGGGGCGAACCCGTAGCTGGGGTGAACCCGTAGCTGGGGGCGAACCCGTAGCTGGGGGCGAACCCGTAGCTGGGGGCGAACCCGTAGCTGGGGGCGAACCCGTCGCTGGGGCGAACCCGTAGCTGGGGCGAACCCGTAGCTGGGGGCGAACCCGTAGCTGGGGCGAACCCGTAGCTGGGGC